ATAAATTCATTTATAATCCCACTTTGATAAATTAGATTTAGGTATGTAACAGATAGTAATACTTTTGAAAATAATCATTTTTCAAGATATACACAAAATTGCACATTTGTATAAAAATAATAAACCAAAATAAGATAATGTCTCGAAATGACATCGTTTACTATGAAAACAAACCAATCTAACATAAAAGTGTGAGAGCAAGATGTATTCACCACTGCGGGCTTAAAAACACTTGAGACTCACTAGTGACGCCCCATCATTTTGTCGTAAGAAAACTTTACCATTTATCATTAATGGCTAAAAAGTATGTACATAAATATTCCAGAAATACCAAGATGGGTAGTATTTAGTTTTTCCGCTTGATTTTGAAGTAGTAAACTTATATATACACCAGAATAAATTTAAGTAATTAAAAACAGTGTGCTATTCTAAAAACAATTAACAATAATTTACAAAACTACTTGTTTTAACATTGCTCAATAAAAAAAAATACTCTACGAACAATTTTTTTTGCACATTTGTAAACGGCGCTATATGTACAAACGGTCACAATGAATTTAAAAAGAATATAAACAACGTTACTGGAAATGATGTAAGAATTCTATCGACACACCAAACATCCAATTCTGAACAGATACTTATAAGTTATGTCGATTTAGTGAAACTCACACTATTTTTTGGCTAGTCATGTAACACTCAATAAATAAAAACATATCTGTACTTTTAATTCACTACAATGGGTTGTACAAGTTTTACATATTCCGTGTTAGTATATTGCTGAAAATTTGTGACCTTCCTTTCCCGTGGTTGTTGTAAGAGGCGATTAAGGGAATTTAATAGCAATAGTATAGTAATAGCATAGGTAATCTGCGGTTACCAACCCGCATACTGGCATACACGCCTGGGCGTGACAACTACTGGCAAAACCTCTCAAAAAGAAGGGTTTATCTTCAGCAGTGGACAGTTAACGGCTGATATGGTATGATGATGATATTGCTAAAAGATCACAAATAATAATGTCACAATTATAACAATATATATATATATATATATATATATATATATATATATATATATATATATATATATATATATATATACGTAGCATCGTGTACCGTTGTAAAGAGTAAGATAGCCAACTAACTTTATAATAGTTAATTGTAGACGGTGTTATTTCTTACACAAAGGACAGCACCTCGATTCTCAGAATGGCAACAAATAAAGACCAAGGGCGCCATGATGTCTTCAAAGATGTCCATGGTGATGTGAATATTAGTTGCAAGAATGTTTACTTTCTTTAATATACAAAATTTTAAAGCAATTTTTATTCAAATTTTATTTTAAATCGCAATTAAAATCGAATTTTGATTCCTATTTGAATTTAAGACGAAAACATAATATTTTTTTAAGGTTTTTTTTAGTAGTTACAAATCTGTGTCTATTCATGGAAATAATTATTTTATAAAAACATAACTTTGTTGTTCTTAAACATAGCTTACACTGTTCTCTGAGACAGAGAGACAGATGGCATGTATTTGAATAAGAAATAGAAAAAGACCAAACTATTAGATATCATCATCATCATATCAACCTTTAACTGTTCACTGCTAAACATAAACCTCCCTCTTAGGGGGTGTTGTCAGTGGTTGTCACGCTTGGCAGGCGGGTTGGCAACCGCAGTTAGGCTTTAGAGAGGTTTTAAGAGGGACGCTGCTGCCCATCCCTCGCCCTCAGTCAATTCTTACCACACCCACAGAAAAGGAAGGGGTGACTTATTCTATACCGGGACCACACGGCAAAACTAAATATATCACAGAGTTATTATTAAGTTAAGATTTGCGAAAGCAAGAAGTTTTGTAATAGCAGTCATTTTACCAATGTATCAATATTTGAATATCATTATGTTTATTTGAAATATATATAATAATTACAATTATATATATTTAAAAAATACATAATTATAATAACAATTACACAATAAATTGATGTGTAACTATGACTTCTTACTAGGAGTGTGAGTCTCCTGAAAATAAATGATTTAAAGATAAACTTACAATATGTCCACCACAGTCTAAGGAAGGAGCGACCGTATAAAATTTCAATTGAAAGGAAATTTTTTTAAGACGAAATTCCAGTTATAGCCACTTAATAATGAAAATAATCGTCTTTTTTAATGTTTTAGTGGATAAATTAAAACTACTTAACTGATTATAATAATTCTATTACCTATAAAAAAACTATATTATCAGGAAATAACAGGGGCTATACTTTATTCACAAAAAGCCCTTGCAAAGCCAAAGCGGTTTCTATTTCTATATTACGTTTATTATATAGTAAAATAAAGTTCTCGTTCAAACATTAACATGCACGCAATATACCAACATTTATAAAAATGTACTTATGGTAATCTCTGAAAGTAATAAACAGATTCTATAGAAAACTTTCTCACATTCACATATCACATTGTAAAATTTCTCACTTTTTAAAAAAAGCTACATTGTCCCCTATATATATATATATATATATATATATATATATATATATATATATATATATATATATATATATATATATATATATATATATATATATATATATATATATATATATATATATAAAAATTTTAGACAGTAACTCTGTTAATGATCATTTTATTGTCTAAATGGAAACGAAATTTAGAAATCAGTCGTAGTGATTTCGAACGAACCAAGCGATATTGTTCACGAGTATAACGGGTGATTTATTAATTAATATTAATAAGATATACCAAATTACTAATATTCTAATTATATTTATTTTTTACACTAATTCCTTAACTAATTATAAGTTTAAAAATTACGAAATGTATGAATCGGGATTTTTTTAATCTGTCATAGAATATTACCACTACATATTATTTATCAACAGTGTGATTCCTGAGGAATATATATATATATATATATATAGTTGTACAATTCAATGAGATTTTATGAAAATTTGTTGAGAGGTCGAAAAAACTCAAGTCGGTCTGGGGCTTTTATCAAAACACTGCCAAATCCGTATGAGATATACTCGCCTAATGCCCGCATGTCGCCTACCTTGTTATATAAGCCAAACGATAAAAGACGCGATTCCTTATAATAAATAGATTTTCTAAATGAATTCAAATTCGACGCAACAAGTTAATGTAAAAAATGCAAGCATCCATGCTCTACTACTCATACGAGGAGGGAAAGGATTGTTTGTAATGGGGTCTAACAGCCCAAGTGCTAACAATATACCCTATCAGGTCGACCTCCACGCAATTCACCTGGAATCCATTGTGATTAATTCTTGTTGAACTCATCGCGATGGACTAACTGACATGCTTTTGTCTTCGCGTATCATCTCTTCCTGATGTCCCGCCAGTGTCTACCGATAGCACTGGCGGGGGCGACCATTCCATTATCTTTCATTTAATAAATTACCATGCGAAGCCAGGACTAATAATTTTATAATTAAGCGATCGCATCGTATGCCTTCTCTGTCTCTGATATAGCCGAGTATAGACCAGTAACATCTTAAAAGTACCACCATATTCGTTTTTACATTTATATGATTTTCCTGCCTGGAACTTAAAAATTAAGGATAATTTAAGATAATTTTGAAACATATTTTTTAATTCTGAACCTAGTTAATAACTTGATTGTGTTAATAAATAAATATAAATAGAATAGTAAATTATATATAATAAATACATGATTATTAAATACATAATTTAATAATCATTCAAAATTAATAATTTTTAATAATATTTTTTAATGACTGTTTATTTTTATTTAATACTAGCGGCCCGTCCCGGAGTCGCACGGGAGGACATTTTTACATTTTAAAAAGTAGCCATTAAGGCTACACACGCGACGGAAGCTTAAAAATGGAGTAACTTCCGTTTTCCCAACATTTCCCTTCAGTGCTCTGCTCCTATTAACCGTAGCGTGATAAAAAGTATACTATAACCTGCCCAGGAGTATGAAGAATAATTGTACCAAGCTTCGTTAAAATCCGTCGAGTAGGTTTTGTTTCTATAACGAACATACAGACAGACAGACAAAAATTTTACTGATTGCATTTTTGGCATCAGTATCGATTACTAATCACCCCCTGATAGTTATTTTGGAAATATATTTCATGTACAGAATTGACCTCTCTATAGATTTATTATAAGTATAGATTTGGCAATTTACATTACAAATTATTAATTGTAATTGTTAAATAAATATTATTGAAATAATATAATCTTATTAACTTTTAAACTTTCGCTATTTCTGGTTTATAAGATGTGAGAATTAACGAGATTATTTAGGTCAGCGGCTCTCAGAGTGGTCGATATCGACCCCTCGGGATCGGTTTCCTAAGGGTCGACATACACAAAGATTGATTTTGGGGGTCGACGAGTTCTAAAAATCGACCCATATTAATTAACACAAACCCTTTTTTGAAACTTTCAAGATACTGTATAAATGATGTTGCGTGTACCAACTTATTATAAGAATGACTAATATTTTAGTAGTAAGTATCGTTGTTGTACTTTTAAAAATTTCACGTCTTCTTTTTTGTTAAATTCTGATGAGAAAATAACAGCATGTTTACTCACTTAAACAACCGCAAAATTTTGAAATTAGTATTTTGTATTAATAGGAAACAAAACTACACATAGAATTTTTAATGTAATTTAGCTATCTAAGGTAGTCAAAAAAAGGTTGAAAAAGAGGTTTCTACCCAAAATAGTTTAGTAATATAGATTACTAAACTATTTTAATTTAGGTAAACTATGACAATTTACCTAAGTTATCTCGACATTACTTAGCTACCTAAATGATCGCGTTAATTCCCGTCTCTTATAAACCATAAGAATCTTATTTCAATTATTATTATGTGATTGTAAGAATTTCGAAACAGACTTTATTTAAGTGAGGATTAACAATTGTGTAATCAATACATTATTTCTTATATTTTTTAATAAAAGTAATCTAATTACAAACCATCTTCGGCATTGAATATGTCGAAATCGAGCAGCAAAGAGCACTCTTCATTAGTGAGCAAGCCATTGGCCGAAGCCAATGACTGATCCCAAACGCTCGCACTCATTGTTGTTGTTGTTGAAAATATTCTGAAATTAACAAAACATATCTAATTAAGACTAAATATAAGACAAAGAAAAAATATCATAATATCTTTTGAATAATTAAAACTATATATTCGTAAATAATTTCTCACCAGGAGACTACACAATAATTAAGAATGTTCCACAAAATAAACTTCAATTGTGGCAATTAGTTACCTAAATTTAAAAACTAAACAACTAAACCCATTTTGATAAAATTTCTATGGGACAAATCTGTAAGAAGTCCTTTCAGATAAAAAAAAATTCCAAATCGGTTTAAAACTGACCGAGTTATCGATGTTACAAACAAAAATTAATACAACCGAATCGAGAACCTCTTTTTTTTAAGTCGGTTGAAAATTATCTACAACCTCTGTGCAAATGGTGTTTGTCGTGAAGCAACTAATTGCATAGATTTTCCGATTTGAAGGGTGGGACGTAACAGTGAAATTACAGAGTACACCTTAGCCGTCCAGATAGCAACGCATAGGACAATACCGGCAACTGTTACCACATTCTGTTAGGTCCGCTGTCAGCATGTTAGACATTCTAAGTTCCACAAATAAAAATTAATTACTATTAATTATATTTTTATACATACCACAGACAAATTAAATGACGATGCGAGCCGGTAGCGATCGGTATCCAATGATGATGATAAAGGTGGTCGAAGGACAAAAGAGTCCGGTGAGGGCGCCATGTTGGCACTGAAAACACACAATAAAATATTTTAAATTATAATATTTGTATTCTGATATATTTAACTGATAGAAGTTATAAGATATTTTTTTCAAAACTTTACGAAAATGAATTAATGTATAAAATAATTTTTACATTAAAAATTCGCCTTAAAATGTATTTTATGTCAATGTGCATTTATGTATATATATATATATATATATATATATATATATATATATATATATATATATATATATATATATATATATATATATATATATATATATATATATATGGCTAAAACGAACAGAGCTTGCACTTTGAGTACTAGCATAAGAGCATTCTTATATAACTATTCTTACAGGTACATACATAACAGAAAACAACTAGACAAATATAATACATTCAGATAAATATACTATACAAAATTTATGAATGTATAAAAACTTCAAACTCAAACTTAATCATTGAAAGGTGAGTGTTAAACCATTACACGATCAAGGTCGTTACAATAAATACCGTTATTTTTACACTAAGGTACTTAGCAATGCATCTAATGGAAATTTATTTACGAAATACTTTGTTTTTAATATTATGGGTAAAATGTATCTTTATCTGGGTATTAAGAATGAAGGATTACGAAAGATAAACATTTTATTCAAATGAAGTAGGTACGTACCTACCTAACTACGTCAGCAAAGTATTTAAACGGCGAAACTTATTGACATAACGAATAATGGTCTCCCTGTGCATTTAGTATGAACAGATAATTCCATATATAACCACGTGTTCATAACAATATGTTGCGTCGGTTTTAATTGCCTATATACCTATATTACCTACGTCATAGTTCTTTGCAAGAATGTACGTAACTGCGGCGTGACTTCTGGTCTACTCTCGTCATATACATAAAATAGTAGTACTGCTTATTTTCTTTTCTCTTCTGTGTCTTTAATTATCTTTGATTTAGCAGCTAAAGTATTGAATGAAGATTATTAAAACACACAAAGAAATATTACTTAAATAATGAACCTAGTGTTCATACTTTGAGCTGTTGTAGGAATTTCTTGCTCCATATCTCTAACAAACATTTTTAACATATTGCATATATAATGCAAATAAACATAAACAGTAACATTGAAATCATAATTATCCGGCGACAGTGAAACAAAAGTTTTCTTTCCGAAGAAACATAGATCAAGAAATAACAAAAAATGTAGAGCTTACCATAGTAAACAAGTGAACGCGTCATGTTAATATGGGACGTTCAAATATGTATTGCAGTTTATGACTCATGTCTTAAGGAAAAATGTTCAATTTCGCAGTTTCACTCTACATTGTGTATTTGTCTAACAAGACGATTTTGTGCGTACTACATAATATATGACTCAAATCTCTACCACAAGGCAACATAAACTAAAGGTCGTAGATGTATCTATCCTGACCAAAGGGGGGAATTATTTGTAATGGGGTCTAACTGCTCCATTGCTTGCAATACACCCTATCAGGTCGACCTCCACGTGGTTCCCCCTGGAAACCAACGTGGTTAATTCTAGTGCAATTCGTCACGATGGGCTAACTGACCTGCTTTCATCGTCACCTATCATCCCTCACTGGTGCTCCGCCAGCGTATACCGTTAGCGCAGGCGAGATGACCATTTCATTATCACACATAAAAAAAAATCCTGACCTAAACCAAAAATTTGGGTCAATTGTAAATTTCTCATTAATGATTTAACATTTTATTTTTATTACTACCATAATAAATAATCGGAAATACTATCTATTAATTCGATCAATTTATTTTTCAAATTACATAATTCATAAAATCCTTAATATCCTTCTTTTATATATAATAAATAACTAAAGTTACGATTACAAAATAGCATTTACAAATAACATTTATCTATTTGTAACAACTAAACGTTCGATTGTGATATACAGAGCTTACAAAACACACTATGTCGCCACACTTTCGCTATATCTATGTAATATAAATTACAGCATTTGGTTGCAACATAAATTGCCTACTTGCCAGTAACCTGATCATATATCAATATGTTTTATATATTATTTCTACTTTAGAATTTTATGCAGTATACGCTACTATGTGTATATTTAGACATGTCTTTGACTATACCTTCATAATTATTATTATTCTCCATATGAATAAATACATAAAAAACCGGTTTCAAAATTGACAAAATTATTACACGGTAATCCCGTATCACGGTAAGTCTTCCCATTAAAAAAAGAATGCAAAAATAGTTCAGAACTGCCGAAGATATCGCTTAACATACACAAAACACCGAGGAATCACGAAATTCTTTTATTAATTCTATTGAAAATAATATTTACCACAAAGTCCTGTCTCCATAATGGACCTGGCACGAGAATATCATACACACGCAATATTGAAAAATCAATAAATGTTATCAATATTAATAGATAATATTAAAACATTTGTTTTTATCTAATAATATATCCCCCCACTAATACTGATATACTGCAAGATACTTTCCCTGTTGATTTTTGGATCTAAAATAGACTTATCTATTTACCTATGACTAAATATCGAATCAAAGTTAATTCATAAAATTAGAGAAAAAGTTTAGAAGACACCTGTGACCGTTCTCAACTTCGCCGGTTCTTTTTTTATAATAAAATACAACCCATGTTACCTGCTGGTAATGTTGCTTTCTATAGATAAAAGGATTGAATATTTGAGTGTATCCTAATAAAAAAAGAGATTCAAATTTCCTCTTTATAATTAATTAGTTTATATTAAAGCCTTTTTTTATAATGACAATTAAGAAGGAATCCTGAAATCCGCTTCGAAAAAGCTGCGGAAAATAAATATTAACTCTATACATATAAATAATTGAATTTGTCACCTACGATATGTAAATGAATAAAGAAGTTATCTATAGATAATTAATACATAATATATTATAAGCTGATTATACTATTAATTCATCTATTGAAACCTACAATAACGAAAATAATCTCACATTTATAAGATACATAGCTAGGTACATTTATATATACCTACTATAACATTACTAAATAGTCATTCTAAGTGTTCTATACTTTTTATTTGTATATATATTTATTTATTATATTTATTGGTTTGTACTCATTACGGATAACTATAACACCCACAATATTAACCAACTCCAAAAAGGAGCTTAATTTTTATAACTTACATGTCTATGTTACGCGACATTTTTTTTCTTTGTTAACAAATTTAGATTGCTGTTTTTTCTAGTCGTATTGTTATTTATATACTATCTAGCTTTTACTCGCGACATCGCGTGACCGAAATATATTTATACAAATGCATACCAAATCTGACGATTGGTTAAGCTGCTAAGGTAAAAAGCGGAAACAAACACTGTTTCATATTTATAAAATTAGTATTTTCTCAATATTGAGATTGAGAATTTGTTTTTATAAAAAAGATTATCCACATAGTATATAGATCATTATATCTACTAAAGGAAATTCTATGCTATATAAATGTAAGATTGTCAATAATTCAAAAATAAATACGTTGAATGTTTGACTATGACGTAAACACCTCTCTATAAATAATTAGACAATACATGGTTTTATTTGGAACCTTACTTATAACTTTAAAACATCTTTGACAATAGCGGGTAGATCAAATTGCATTTTAAAGGTATGTTGTTTAATTTTGTTGTTATAGAAATATACCCCATGTATATTATAGAATCGTGTTTATAATTTAGTCATACATAGAATGAAAAGAAAATATGAAAAAACAAAATTTATCTCACTACAGTTCGTTTCTTAATGAGTAAAAATGTAACCATATTTTGTTGAAATTATTACACACGCTTAGTTTCATCAATTGCTTAAATTGATTCAGCGACGTATGATGACGATAGCCTAATATCTGTAATCTTTTGGAGGGAACAATAAAAAGTATTTATCTATCTAATATCTAGTACTTTAAAATAATGTAGGATTGCACTTATGTACTACATACTTTTAGTAGCATAAGCACCAGTATATTTATAACTATAATTGTTTCCAATCAATAATAACTATCACTTATTTATACATAATATTACATTCAAGTAAATATTATATAAATAACTTTTTTTTTTAATAAAACAGTACACACTGCTAGATACCTACGTAGAGAAACCAAGTGAATATTTTTGGTCTATATTAATTACGCATACGTAGCTGAAAGATGGAATCACCTACATCCAAGCTCCTATTACTACAAATACCTATTACTACAAATTATGAAACATGTAATTTAAATAACATGTGAAAGGAACTCGTTCGATTCACATGAAGAGTGAATAATATGTTAAAATCTGTAGTAATGGTTCTCCCGCGCTAAAGTACTATTACTATAATGCAGTGAAAGCTATGCTTCAATGGAATGTGCCGCTAGACATGTTAATTATCATATATTGGCTATTGTATAATAAATCATAATAATGGATGTGTGTACTTACATCATGTTTTACGTGCGTAGAAGGCACACGTGGGTGTGCAAATTTTTGGTACTAGAAACCCATCTTTATCGCAACTATAACACGAGAAAAAACAAAATACACGACTGTTAGCTGGGATACATTGATGAGTAATAGACCGAGCGGGGGGAAGAAGGGCAAGGGGAACATTTTGTCAACCATAGACAATATTAGGCGTGTTGGTTATTTTTTAATAACAGAGTATTTGTGTAAAAATATTCGAAACAAGTAATTTTGCTACTATTTCAAACTCTGTACCCTGAATAACCCATTACCTTGATAATTTATTTATAATTACTAATTGACTATTAATAATTTTAATTCCAATCACACAATGAGAACAAAATGATAATCTCTATATTTTTATGATAATAATACTGATTGTCTTTATGTAGTATATTTAAAAATAGAATAAAATTTATAAACTAATTGTTACAATAATAAAAAAAGAGGTCCATACAAATTTTTTAGGCTATTTTACCATAGACAAAAAATTTAAACATGAACTCAGATGTTGCTTTACCATAATAAAGTGCAGTTATATAATTCCAAGATAAATCTGAGAAATGGTTATCTAAAGATAAATACATTACCAGATTTAGATTTAATTGCAAGGAATAATAAAACCTTCATAACCTATAATTATTCCAGCTAATCTACATAACTATACCACAAACTATAGAGATGGCTTTTGATGACACCATACATAGGTTTCTATATAGAGATAAAATACATTCTTTGTACAAAAATAATTTGCAATATAAATATATTTTCCATCTAATTAGGTAATATAAAAAAGCTAAACAAGGATAATGATGTAAAAATATTTATTAAAATTTTTAATTCAAAATAAACACCTTTTAGGAGAATTTCATGCTGTAACATTCCAGATTCTGTAAGTTTACAACTGCCATAGTCTTTGACACGGAAAAATCTGGTAGGCACACTAGTCTCACGTACTGTCCTTCATCTCCTAAAAATAAACAAAATTATAAGTATTCATACTCAAACTGGATGTGCTTAGTTTTTAAACTATACTTAGTTTGAGCGAAACTGGCTTAATTTTGTTTGAATAATTTTTAGCCGTACAATCTTGTTTTAAATTTAAGGAGAAAAATGCACTTTTAATATACTTCTATCTACTTGATTCTACTTTTCACTGTAATAACTGTAATAAGTTATTTTATGATTCTGAAATATAAAAAATGCTATAAAACTAAATAATTTACTAAATAAATCAAATTATCTTTGAGCTACATGTGTGAATAAATAAATTGCGTAATTTAAAAATGTTCAGTTGAGACCAAAATTATTTCCAAATAAAAATCCTGTTTTATTAATTCATTTAACACAACATAATGCATAATACCTTTGTAAACATCAGTGGCAAATTCTTCACAATTCCCACTGAAATATATAGCAGGACAGTTTTGTATTATGAATGGATCCGTATCAACGCATGGAGTACATGGAACTGTGTCAGGACAAGTAGGTGCCATATGACGCCATTTTAATGTGCTTCTCATTGCGTCCAATGCATTATTTACATTACTGTATCTCATTATATCTTTAATTGGCTCACCTGATGTGCCCAGGCAAGTGAATCCTGTAAACATTTATTATTTATCATGATCGCTTTATGAAAACCACAAGTGAAACTCCTTATGTGGCAGGTGTCAAATTTTACAGACCAACTATGTAATGTATTTTATAAGAAACTATTAAAAAAATACAAATTTTTTTGTATATAAAATTTACTACAAGGGAACTGAATTTCAGTTGGATATAAAAAATTTTTTATTGATTTTTTCATATTATGGTGGCATTACATGCATAATCAGTAGTGACAATACTTTTTTATAACATACCTGCAATATCACATTCATATGGATTAGAAACTCGATGAAATGACTTGTACTCTATGGCCTTTGGAAATAAACCTAGAAAATAAAATAATTACCTGTACTATGTATAATAAAAATTATAAGATCAAAGGAGTATTTGACATTTATGTAAAAAACTGAAAAATTCGAAAGGAAAAAATACTAACAGTAATGGAATGGTTTCTGTGGCAGCATAATACCAGAAGGATCTTTGCAACCTGGCATCAGGTCTAACGGTGCCACAGAGCTGACAGCAGCAGCAAATGCATCGGCTGCCTCAGCTGATGCTATCACATCTGACTCACTGAGAATATTCTCATCAGAATGACTTGCAAACACACCACCTATTAAAAAATAAAACAAATCACAAATTTTTGGGGGGGAAAGGGTTGTTAGTAATAGAGACTAAAAATCCCATTGCTAGCAATATCCCCAACCAGGTCAACCTCCTCATGGTTCCCCCTGGAAACTATCATTGTTAATTCCTGATGACATCATCATGATGGGCTAACTGGCCTATTTTCATTCTCAAAGATCACCCTTCACTGGTGCTCCGCCAGCATATCCCATTAGCACAGGCATGGTTACCATTTTCACTCCTCAAAAATAATCACAAATTTTAGCATTTAAAAATCCAATAATTCCATTTTTTGCTACATATTAGAAAGATTCAATAAAATCAAATTTAAATTAAATTTAGAAACTTGAATATGATAGATTAAAAACAATTGATATATATAAAAAGCATATACAGTAGATTTCAGGTACAAAGACCATGAAAGGACCACTGTCATTTCATTGTTGTATAGAAAAGTTGTTACAGGCAAAGGCATCTAGGAGCCATACTTATTCAAAAGATTACTAAGCACAGTTGCTACTCAGAATATCACTTTGTTACTAATGTTTATGTTAAAATCTCTTCATCTACATTAAAATTTTATAAGTTGTGTTCAAATAGCACCATTGAATATCAATAGAAACAAAGAATGTTACAAACAATAGTTTACCTGCAATAATTACTCTGACAATTTTTGATAATTCTTCCTGATATTGTGAAGTACCAGAAATACCTGACAACCACTCCAGTAGTAAATGCAAAGAAAATAAATTATCAGCTTTCTTCGTTGCCATATTCAAACCAGATAAAAGGACAATGTACCTATAAAAGTTTATATAATTAAACAAAATATTATTAAAATCATAAATAGTAATTGATACATTTGATAATATATATGATATCTACCTACATACCTATCATTAGAGAGTTTAGGCAGTGGTTTTTGTATGTTACAACCTGCCCAGCATACATCTTCTATTGTGAAAACTCCATCCTCATCTTCAGAACCTGTAATATTTAAAGAACTAAAATATGCAAAAGACAAAAGACAATGTAATGTTAACAATTTCTAGAACAATAATAATATAAATAAATAAATTTTAATCAAGTAAACTTAATAAAAAGCATTTTTGAATTATCTTTTTTTTAATAATCTACCGCCCAGTTTGGAATACAATTTTATCTGAGAAGAACAGGCAAGAAACACAGTAGCTTTTTTTTTCAAATAAAAGTTTACAACAAAAATAATATGAATGGATAAAATGACTATAAAAAATTTGTATTGATAAAAAAATACAAAATAAAAAGCACACAATATTCTTGAACAGATCAGTCCCTACTTGAAGTACCCATTCACTATTATAATGGAAGAGTCAGCCATAGTTATTTTTTTAATGAATGATAATGGAATGGTTACCCCACTTGCGCTATTAGTATACACAGGGGTACCAGTGAGGGATGATAGATGATGAAGCAGGTTGGTTGGCCCATTGTAACAAATTCAACAATAAATTAATCATGATGGTTTTCAAGGGAACCGCGTGAATGGTCAACCTGACAGGGTATATTGCTAGAATTGGAATTACTAATCTCTATTACTAACAATCCCTACTCCCCTAACCACAATTGTGTTCAATCATATTATATAGAGTCCATCAACCCAGCCCACCACACAGCCACATACCTAAAACAGCACATACAACTCCAGTAACTACTTGATGAACATCTATTGAGTCACCAATCAATTTGATTCTTTGAAGCTCATCCTCCAACACTAGGCTATCATTATCATGTACAAAATGAGTTCTGAAAGAAAACATGTTTATATATATAAAATATCCATATTTAATAGCAAGTGAATTAACTCATCAGTTATAAAATTAAATTACCTTGCTGGTTGAGGTATAATTTCTAACTGTTCTGACAACTCTCTCAATATACTTGGCTTTAATTCCTGTAATTTAAATATCGTTCCAATAACAATACATTTTTCATTTTTCTCTCGAAGTTCGCACAATTTAAGAATCTTATAATGACTTGACCATTTCTTCCTAACTATTGGGATGATTACATTTCTATATTCATTTAATCTAGCTGAGTAAATATGAGCATATTGTCTAGAAAAATCTCGGGAAACTTGATAAAATCTTTTGGATGAATCCACGTAATCTACGGTTTGTCTTTCCAATTCAACTGGCAAAAAGTCATTTGCAACTTTCTCTGAGAAGTTAGGCTCTACTTTAAATAACATTTTTTTTTTTTCAATTCACTGTATTAGTACAATTAACAGGACACAAATTATATTAAAAAAATATTAATCGACAAACTTTGGCGCCAGAAGAACCTAAAATAACAAAAATGACATTTGACAATGACTACCATAGATTAAGCTTAGATTATTTCACATAATGAAATTTGATATGCTTTGCCAAAATATACGTCACACCAGCTACATTGCTTCTCAAAATTAGTCATTAAGAACGAAAAACTGATGATATGAAAAATTTATATAAATGTGAATGAAAGTAATAATTTTACTAAATGATAAGGAAGGGATCCGATTTGCTGGAACACCTAAGAACGAGGAAAGATCTTTGGGTTAAGTCTACGTTATATCTACGCCTACCAGAGACTAGATATGGCTTACTACAATAATCAAAGCAAAATTTAAAACTATGTCTGTTAATTTTATTGAAGGTTTCATTCACCACCATCATCATCATCATAGGTACATAGTATAAAACAAACTCGCTCTCGCTGTCTGTCATATATATATACGGATGGACAGACAGCTTAAATCTTTAAAACTACGCAATGGATTTTGAAGCGGTTTTTTTAATAGATGGAGTGATTTAAGAGGAAGGTTTATATGTATAATACATGCATAATATTCTAGAGAAACACTGACAAATTTAGAGGTTTCTAATGTCATGTCATAAATAAACACATTTTTACGCTTATATTGCAAACGCTAGATGAACCCCACGAAATAAATCAAAATAATTTACTACAGTACTGTACACCTTAAAAAGATCAACAAAAAAAATCCGCGATGATATATGTCTATCTTTTAAGGATAATGTTGAAGTATAGTTTATTGTGAACTTTATATAGCAACCCTAACTTTTTTTATGGTATTATAAAATAAAAAAAAAAAAAAAAAAACTTCTTGTGTGTCAATGACAGAACTGAAAAAGGTTGTTTTTTATTTCTCTTCTCCATCGTTAATAATCCATTTAGTTGACTTGTAATAACATATTTATTTGACGTGTAATAACAATAATAATCATAACAGGTTATGGCCCAGCCTGATTTTCCATTTATATGGTATTGTAATTATTCGTACAAAACTAGAACAATTTCCACAAGTCACAGCCGCCATTTTTTTTTTCCGGTTGAAAGTTTTTTGTTCAGAACTTCTTGAGGTACTTGTCAATAATGTCTGTGCGATTAGATAAAATCACAGTGGACAAGTTGGAGGGTGAAGGTAATTGGATTTCATGGAAATTCGATATCAACTTACAAATAACCCTACATGGAGTTGAGGACCATGTGACCGGTGTAGCGCAACAACCAAAAGATGGAGAAGAACCAAAGTCTTTCAAATTATACCATGAAAAGGAATCAATTGCAAGGTATTTAATAGGTTCAACAGTAGGCAGAGAGCCGAAACAGCACATTTTAACCTGCAAAAGTGCGAAAGAAATGTGGGACACTCTTCATGCTGTGTATGAACAGAAAAATGAAAGAAGACTGGATCTTTTGTACTGCGAGCTATTTACGTATAAAAAGTTACCAGAGGACAGTATAGCTACGCATGTCTCTAAGTTACAAAGACTGTATACTCAATTAAACTTAGAATTGAAAAATGAAGGCAGTACTTTGCCTCAGTCCTTACTTTTAAACAGAATACTGAATACATTGCCTGTTAACTATCTTGAGTTCAAAAATGCATGGGAATCTGTCCCTGCATCGGATAGAAATGTAACCACATTAATGGAACGTCTTCGCTTACATGAGCAAAGATTGAATGAAAGCAAACCTGAAAGTGAAGTCGCTCTAGTTGCAAAGACTGAAAAGCGTATATATAATAAAGGTCCAGTTTGTAATTATTGTAAAAGAAAAGGACATATCAAAAAACATTGTTTTAAATTTAAAAATAAACAAAAATCTGATTCTACAAATGGACATGCTTTTGTTGCACATAGTACCGTGATAACTAAAGAGGACTGGATAATAGATTCTGGTGCGTCACACCATATTACTTCACATAGAGAGTATTTTGCTTCATATGAACAATTTGATAACCCAATTCCAGTTTATCTCGGAGATGGTAGTCAAATGATGGCTGTAGGATTTGGCATCATAGACATAAAAATGTTGGTTAATGGAAAATGGGAGAAAGGTCATTTAAAAGATGCTTGGTTTGTTCCTACCTGTAAACAGAATTTATTCTCTTCAGGGTCAGCTTTAAAAAATAATTTAATTGAAATAGGTGATAAAAATAAAAGAATATTTAAAAATGGCAATAACATAAAAGCAGTTGCAATAAGAAATAAGGGAAATATGTACAGATTGGAGATGAGGGTGATATTACCTGAAAATTATTGTATGCTTAGTAGTCATACGGCAGACTTAAATATCTGGCATGAACGCCTATGTCACCAGAATATTAGACATGTTGAAAAATTCTTAAAACTGAATAATATTCCATTCCAGCCAGCAGAAAAAATTGTTTGCGATGGGTGCATGTTTGGTAAAATGTCTCGCTTGCCTTTTCATACAAGAAATATCAGAGCACAGGTACCAGGACAAATTATTCATGCTGATGTCTGTGGCCCCATTGCTGAAGTATCTGTTGGAGGTAGTAGATATTGTATTGCATTCAAAGACGATTACTCCAAATACAGAAAAGTATATTTTATAAAAGAAAAGACAGCAGTTTCAGAAGTAACAAAGAACTTTATTTTGGAAGCTAAGACAATAGGTCATACAATAAAAGAATTAATAACTGATGGAGGTAAAGAATTTATAAACAAGGAAATGCAAGCCATATTGTCATCATTTGGAATTAATCATCGCATGACCATTCCATATAGCCCACAGCAGAATGGAGCTGCGGAGCGTGAAAACAGAATATTAATGGAAGCAGCTCGGAGTATGCTACATGCAAATAATTTTGATAAGCAGCTATGGGCAGAAGCTGTTAACACTGCTGCATATGTTCTGAATAGGACTGGTCCAACAGGTGTTGATGACTCATCTACACCATACAGTTTATGGTTTGGCAAAAAAGCTGATATAAGTCATCTGAAGATATTTGGCACAAAATGTTTTATTCATGTACCTGACCAAAAGCGCAGAAAGCTAGATAAAAAGGCAATAAAGGGAAACTTAGTTGGATATTGTGGAGACAAAGATGGGTATAGAATATGGACAGAGGACAGAAAGATAGTTTTATCTAGAGATGTTAAATTCCTACCAGAACAAGTATGTGTTGATATTTTTAAACAGGATTTAACAGAGCAGCAGTCTAAACATCAGAAGGAATCTTCGAAAAATCATGATTTTGTGATATCCTTAATTCCTGATGCTGATGAAGTCAACAGCAGCAAAGTTCAGAAAGTGACAAGAGGACATGCATCATCGTCTATGGCCCCAAGGGCTGTCACCGCTGATCCAGCTCAAGCATGTGACCAGGTTCCAAGTTCAGGTAAAGATTTTATACATAATTCATGTGATAGTGATCCTGTGTTCTTAGACTGTGATAATTTATCAGAAAGTGAAAGTGAGTCAGTGATAAATGTGGATCCATTGTGTAGTGGTAACAGTAATGGAAATGTCGAAAGTGAAAATTCTCAACGATATCCATTGCGTAATAGAAAGATAAAGGAGTTTCCAGACTATCATGTGTATATGTGCATGGAATCTGATGATGAATGTTTACATTTTGATGATTTTGATAATTTACCAGCTTGTTGGAAAGATGCTATTAATGCTGAACTTTCATCATTGGATATTAATAATACTTGGTCTATTGTAGATTTACCAAAGGGTGTAACCCCTATAGATAGCAAATGGGTATTTAAAATAAAGAAAGACAGTGACAACAATATTGTCAAATATAAGGCTAGGTTAGTTGCACGTGGGTATAATCAAAGATTTGGTATTGATTATCATGATACATATTCACCAGTTGTTCGTTCTAGTGCACTTAGAATTCTTTTTTCTTTGGCAATTCAGTTTGATTGGTTTATAGACCATTGGGATGTTGTTACTGCTTTTCTTCATGGAACATTAAATGAAGATGTTTTTATGTATATGCCAAAGGGCTTGTTAATTGATAAAGGTAAAAATGATAATGTGCCTAAGGTATGCAAACTAAACAAAGCTATGTATGGACTGAAGCAGGCAGCCTCAAGTTGGAATAAAGAGTTGCATAATGCTTTGATTAATATTGGTTTTAAGCAGTCTGTTCATGAACCATGTATTTATATTCTCAAACAAGATAACCTTTATTTAATTTTAGCAATTTATGTGGATGACATTTTTGCATTTGGTAATAATCAAAAGAAAAAGCATGATATATTTTCTCTACTAGATAGTAAATTTAAATTAAAGAATTTAGGTCCCATAGAACATGCCCTAAGTTTGAGAATAAGAAGAGTAGGTTCAGAATTAATTGTTGATCAGAAAAGGTATATAGAAAATATATTAAGTGTGTATGGAATGCAAGATTGCAAACCTGTAAATTCACCAATTCTACCAGGTTTGAGGATGAGTAAAAGTGACACCGTTGATCCAAAAATTCCATATCAAAATTTAATTGGAAGCTTGATGTATATTGCTCTAAATACCAGACCAGACATATTACATGCAGTTTGTGTATTATCTCAATATAATAATTGTTATACAAAAGAACATTTTGTACAGGTAAAAAGGATTGTAAGGTATCTGAAAGGTACAATTAATTATTGTTTAGTATATAAGAAGTCAAAGAACTTCAGTTTATATGGATATGTTGATGCCGATTGGGCAAATTCAGAAGACAGGAGATCATATTCCGGATTAGTGTTTAAACTTGGTGATAATCTTATTGCCTTTGAAAGTAAAAAGCAAACTTGTGTTTCATTATCATCAACTGAAGCGGAATATGTTGCCCTGGCTCAGGGTGCCAAGGAGGCTATTTTCTTAAAGAATATTATTAAAGAACTATATGTAGAGATGATAGATAAACCTATTATTTTGTATAATGACAACCAGTCATGTCATAAGATAGCTGCTAACAAGGTAAATAGTAATAGGACTAAGCACATAGACATTAAATTTCATTTTATTAGAGAAGCAGTTGAGAGTAACAAAATAGAGATTAAGTATTTGTCTACTCAGTGTATGGTGGCTGATATGTTCACCAAGCCTCTGAGTTCTGTAAAAATAAGTAATTTTATGAAAGATATTTCACTGTATCAGAAATTATAAGTTTATTTTTTGTATTGTGCTGTTTGTGCTTATGGTATTTTTTTTTATGTTTGAAACAAAGTTTGGTTTGAGGGGTAGTGTTGAAGTATAGTTTATTGTGAACTTTATATAGCAACCCTAACTTTGTTTATGGTATTATAAAATAAAAAAAAAAAAAACTTCTTGTGTGTCAATGACAGAACTGAAAAAGGTTGTTTTTTATTTCTCTTCTCCATCGTTAATAATCCATTTAGTTGACTTGTAATAACATATTTATTTGACGTGTAATAACAATAATAATCATAACAGATAACCCACAATAACCATTTTTTATGCTTTACATTTTAAGGGAAATATGGCATTAATTTTTATCTAATTAAGTACCATAAATACATTGTCCATTTAATATAGATCAATACGGCTCTTTACAGTATGTAATTTAAATTAATATTTCCGAAGATATTACAGATTTAATATGCAGGAACATAGTGGTGCGGCGGTACCGGCCCAACCGGTGGCGCATGCCTACAAATAGCGCGTCGAATAGCACTTTATCATGTTTGTATTGTCTAATGACAAAAAAACTGTAAACGTTATTTATAAGAACATTCTTTAGTAAGTAGGTATATGGGCGGCGGTAGTCACTTACCATCAGGTGAGCCGCATGCTCGTTTGCCCCCTGTGTTGTAAAAAAAAAAAAAAAAAAATTTAGTATCAGCCTATCAGCATTGCACCCGTGCGAAGCCGTGCTAGTTCGCTAGTAATTAAAAAAATATTTCGAATTAATCAGAAATTAACTACAATGGTTTTCAGGAAAAAACCACGAGGAGATCAACCTAACAAGTTAATCGTTTATAGGTCAACGATTGGTTTGTGCATAGGCCCTCACGTCTGGGTCAAAGAATACATAACCAAGGGTCTAAGTATAACTACTAATAGCAGTACCAATAACTTCCCCTCAAAATAAAATTTCCATACTAGATATTAGGTTGGTTGGTAGGTAGAGAATACCGTCCGATGTTAAATTTGCCAGAGGTATATAAAATTTAAACATAATAGTTTAAATAAATAAATTAAGAAAGTATGAGAATAATATCACTAAAATGATATAATTGTTCAGCAAAAGCAAACTAAGGTTAAAGACCATGCTAACTTTATAGGAAAAAATGGAATAAACGAGCCTTTATACTATTAAAGTTCGTTTATTCCTTTTTTCCTTTTATTCTATTTTTCCTTCAACTACTAATAAATAAAAAAAAAAATCTATAGTAACATTTTAATTAAAAAAAATGGCGGGAATTCAAAAAGTGCGACTAAATAATTTAAATATTAACTTAAAAAATGCCCTTATAGTTGGTATTATTATAGCCAAAAATAGTCCACGTACAATAGGTTCCAAAAAGAAAAATGGAGAGTCACGGGGGATTATCTCTTTCACAATAAGAGATTCCGAAGTAGACACTATTAACGTAGATGTATGGGGTTCGGAATATTTTGTTACTACATTTTACGAAAGATTCCTCGTAGGTGACGTTGGTAAAAAAATATCATATTTTTAAATTTTCACTTAATAAAATTTGTATAAATTAATAACATTTTTCATTATTCATTTAGTTGAAATATCTTCACCGAAAATATGTGTTAAATGCGGCGACAATGAAATGTATAGGCCTCAGGTAAGATAACAAAATCTAAATTTAAAGTAGGTATATATCTATACAAATAAATATTTACCTTATAATAATAATAATCTTGATTAATTCTTTCTAATTTTGTAAAATACAAAAAAAAGATAATTTTTAACTTTATTGCTCAATCAACTTATCTAGACCGAAGGCATAGTTAGTTAGGCATATTTATTTATCGGTTAATTTAATAATATCTTCAGACAGATACTAACATGCTTACTTCCCTTTAGAAGGCACGCGCAATAAATATAACACTGGGTACTCTATCTGATTTTAATCGTTATAGGTGTCCTCTCCATTCTATCTTTCTCTCAACGAAGGCATATCCGACGTAACAACACACAACGGGGACACCTACACCACATATTTACCCCTCTTACATATACCTACTAAATCTTCTTCTGGTTATTGTGGTATAGCTGAAGTGGTCAAATTATCAGGTAATTTTTTCAAACTATCGATATCAAATCGTAGGTATATAAATTACTAAGATCTGTAAGTATAGTAAAATAGGTTTTGTTATTGTTATTATTTATATTTTGCTTAGGTAGTAGTTAATTTATTCACTGCCTCATTTTCCATCCTGGCACATTATTAACATTTGTATATATAAATGTCTTCATCTCGTTTCAAGTACATTAATAATAATCTAGTGCCCACAGATATAATCTATAGTTTAGGACCACACGGTATATATGATATACTAATCTTATTTCCTCTACATCTATATATTTTAATATGTAATAAACACTAATAATTTTCAGAGCAAACTGATAATGTCTACGTAGATTTATTGGTTGTCGTTAAATCTGTAAGTCCTGCTAAGACGATCCGAACAAAAACAGGTGAGTTCAATAGCTTTTTGCACACAGGCTCATAGAATTAGCATTATTTTTATTATCATTAACTATCCACTACTGAATATAGGACTTCATAGGGGTTTTCCCCATATATTGGGGCCAACCGTAGTTAGGCGTTTTGGTTGTGATGTTTTAAAAACAGGCGCTGTAGCTTATTCCTTGACTATTTAGTTCCCTTTCACCTCTTATGATACCCATGAAAACGGAAGGAGTGGCTCATTCTATGCCGAAACCACACCGCGATCAAGCTGCCAAGCATAGCATTAAAATATTCAAAAGTTGAAGATTTTTTTTACTTTAATAGATCTTCATCTTCCTGACCTTGTCCCAATTATTTGGGGTCATCATAATATGATTTTATTCATATTACACAAGGTTTTGGATTTACGACCGACCATCTGTCTGACTTCAACCCTCTTGGGGATACATTTGATAGTTGTATTCATCACCCACGATATAGAGGAAAGTGTTTTTTTTTATTATTATTATTTAATTAAATTATTACATAGGTACATAATAATCATTAATTTTCCAGGTTCAGAGATGACAATTCGTTGTGTAGAAATTATAGATAACACATCACCTGCATCATTATTCTTGGATATTTTTGATATTGATACTATACAGAGGTGCATATTTTCATTGTTTTAACATATATGAGTAATAATTTATTATACACACACACACACATGTTTTGTGTGTGTGTGTGTGTGTGTGTATGGGAGTCCTTTATTTCTTCAATATGTGGATAAATATTTACGTGAAAAACAAACTTTTTATCCAATCAGTTCATATTTTGCGAGAAATTGCGCGATAACTCACACAAAAATATTAATTAGTCGATAAGTAAACATAATTGAAATTATAGAATAGATATGGTCAGATACTGACCTAAATCTTAAATTAAAACTACATATAACTAATACTTGAACGGTATGGATGGTACATACTAGTCTAATATAATTGTAAACTATATTATAATATTTAAATGAAAATTTTAAACGAACATAGTAATTGCAGTAAACGTAACCCTCGACATTTTTGGAAGTATTTTTATTTGAATTAGACATGATTCGAATCGACCTTAACTACTAAGGGAATACCTTAGAAAAGTAGCAAATTAATCTATCGATAGAATCGTTTCGGTTAACGCTCGCATACAAAAGAAGAAACCACCCGGCATCACCATTTCTTTTTATCTTATGGACTCGCTAACAATAACAATTCTATAAATAGATTCGTTTGCAAGTGGCAGTCTAGGGGAGTTGATAATCATTAATATAAGAAGTTACCATTTATATATATATATATATATATATATATATATATATATATATATATATATATATATATATATATATATATACTCATGTAAACATAGAGCTGACGAATGGCACGTGGAGAGCGTGTTGTTCATAGCTGATGCTCGTGTAACGTGGCGCAGTCGAGCTGTGAAGGTACAAGTGTGTTCTAAGACCGTCATCACTTACCAGCCGTACACAGCTGACGCAGAAGCATTGAAATTATACATTCGTAACCAGGGAAATACAAGTTAGTATTTTAATTTTAATATTTTAGGATTTACACTTTACATTAACCGCTTATGATTAACATTCAACTATAGGTACCTACAACCATCGTAATAAGTTAGCAGAAATAAGAGAAAACTAATCTTGATTGCAATCCTAATCACCAGTACCCATAGTAATTTCTCTATCGTAGTTCACCCTTTGACATCCAGTATGCAAACAAGATACTTTGTAGCAAACTATTGAACCAGGAACACTTCATTTTTTACAATGTCTGTTCTTAGTTTGGATTTACTGACGGATTCAGAATTAGTTATGTAATAGTGATAAAATTATAAATATCAGGCAAATAAAAAAACTAATATCACCGTTTATTTCATAGCAGGTGGTGGAGCTGCGGCTGCGTGGGCGGCGTGGAGCGGAGAGCGACCGTGCACAGCGTCTGTGGCTCAGATCCGTGACAGAATCGCCACGGGTACCCCTTTTTGTGCTTCCTTACATGCCACAGTGACACGCCTCTGTTTAGAGGACCTTGTCAGCAGGTACATGTTTAGTATTTTAAAGTTTAAAAGGATGATATTTGAATTTTAACTCCACTTACGATACTGGTGCACGCTGGCGAGGCACCAGTTCGGAGTAATATGTACGGATGAAAGCAAGTTATTTGACTCATTGTGATGAATTGAGTAAAAATTAATTACAATGGTTTCCAGAGGAAGTCCGTGGAAATCGACCTGACAACAACAACTAATAATCCCTCTTTAAAGTTAAACAATTAATGTTATGAAATATCATGATTAATAAGTTAAATCTTGAATTTCAATTTAAATATCCGACTAATAATTACGGCCACGGTAAACAACAATCATTGTCATACAAGATATAATAGCAAGTCAAGTAAATAGCAAGTCAGCGCTCATATGCGTTGCTCGACTGCGGCCACTCTAAGGGGAAATAACATAATATTGTATTTCAACTATGGCCTGTAACTTTCAGCGATAACAACGAAGATTTACTAATTCGATTTGCGGATCACACCGGAGAACTCACTGCAAGGCTTCCATTGACCACGCTGCCTGAAATCTTCGGATATTCTGTAAGAATTTCTTTACATTTTCCTACTCATAAAATTAACGCTACTACATAATTATATAATTAAATGATTTCATCAGATGGAGCAGCTGAAGATGATATCGTCAGATGAAAGAGCAGCACTAAACTGGAAGTTTTTATTAGAGCAATGCAGTGCAAAGCTTGCCTCGTCGCCACCTCGTCTCATCGTGCTGACATTGCGCCGAGCCTCGCCTGCAGATCCTATACCTTTATACTAAATTTTATCTCTGTAGATTTTAATTAAATAAGATTTTCATTAAAACTCTATATTTTATTTAAAATAATTAACTATTTAGTAATTATCAACAATAGGTACTATATTATCATTATGCTTGCCTAAACAACGGTATTGATCAAACAGTTTAAGAATCTAACCTGTTCTTTGACGTGATTTAGTCTTTACTAATAATAGACCTGTATCAATAACTTTAAATATGGAAAAACAAGAAAAACCGGAGATTATATATGAATACAAAAAACGTAGACGAGATTTTGGGAAACAAACCTTATTCTCAGACCACGGACCGGAGATGTGCGTCAGTATACCGAACAATCCTTCATTTTATAAAGATTATATTCTACGAAATCCGGTGCATGTCGGTATACAGAATACTAGCACTATGTCAGAACATTGGGTAAATTCAGAAAGGTAGGTAAAAAAATTATAAACGTAACAACTTCACGGATGCTCTGGGGCGCTAGCCACATTCAGACTCAAGTTTTAAAGTACCATTTTGTACTACCAAGAGATTATCAAACTGGGGAAACTCTCAAAACTTATTGACCCTTAAGCATCAATAGTAAGAAATCAGGCCCCTGTCCGAGTAAAATAAAAAACCAACAGGCATTATTTATTGCTAGCTGTAATGTTTTTTTTAGAGCTGAATATACATGTTCGGGTATCACTCATGTCGAAGGTGGATGGCCAAAAGACATAAATATGGCCGACCCTGAAGCTACGCAAAGATACCGACGCAAAATAGAAAAGGATGATGCGTATATACATGCTGTGATGCATCTCGGGCATGTACGTAAGAAAAATTATTGTTTTTAAATAAGACGATGAAGCTTAACTTTTGTGGTAAAGAATTTGTAGAACTAAAACCGACATATTTAAATTTTATTCTTTTCCATTTTTACTTTAATTAAAAGGCTGTAGTTGTTTCTTAATAGCTATTTTAAATCGTAAAAACCATATTAATTTTAATACTTGTTAAAATTGAAAACAGTGGGAGCAATTAATATCTATTAAAAACTAGCCGTATCCTGATTTTTCAAGTATGTATTTTCTTTCATACTCGCATAAATCTTCTACTAACAATTACAAACATAATAAACAAATAATTTTTAAAGGTCTATACCTCAAAAGGAGAAACGGAACCCCTATAAGATCACTTTGTTGCCCATCTATCTGTCCGTCTGCCAAGACTCTTCTTAGGAACGCATAGAGATATTTAGCTGAAATTAATATCAAATATTGAAGTCTGCAATCATTTAAAACTGTAAAAAAATCAAACATCTAAGTCAACGCAAAGATACGGCCATTTATAGCATATATTTTGACAATTGCAAAGAAATCAAAACCTGTAGAGTACTTTCCGTTGACCTAAAAACATAATATTTGGCAAGAAATAATATTGTAAAGCTGCTAGCCTAACTACGGTTGCCAACTTATCTGCCAAGCGTGGCAAATACTAGTAACACCCCCATGGTCAACAGTGGACAAATTCCGGCTGATATGATGATGATGATGAATGTTGTACAGCACAAATAAAATAAAAATGTCAAAGTCGTCAATTTCTAGTTATATCTACACACTTTTTTTTTCATTTATTATTTGTACGGAACCCTTCGTGCACGAGTCCGACTCGCACTTGGCCGGTTTTTATTTTCATTTTCTCTACATTACTAAAGCGTAACTTAAATTTACATGTAAATAGGAATGTTTCAACCAATCTACAGGGCATGGAACATAACATACTCCAAAATAACGCAGTAGATATGTATGAGACTTATTACTTGGATTTACCGTCAATACCTCCGGTAGAACGCAGTAGTTGTCACACAGTGAACGTATACAGAGAACCTTCAGCCAGAAGACCGGTGCGTTCTCTCTCCTGGCAGACAGATGGAGGTGCACGTCTCGCAAGTGCTCATGCCGATGTAGACCTTATGAGGAATAATAGAACTCCACAATATTCATATATATGGGATATCGGTAAGTATCTATGGTCACAAAATTAGACTAGACTTAGATTAGATTTTGACTAGGTCTAAAATTAGTAATTTAATTTTTTTTGTATTAATTCAAACATTTTTGTTTATACCCAGAGAACGCTAATGCGCCAGAGCTAACCATAAAACCTCATCAGCCATTACTAGATTTACAATACAATCCTCGAGACCAAAATACTCTTGTTGGTGGGATGATGAATGGCCAGGTATATAAATGATTATTATTTTTATGCCAATAAATTGTTTTGTAGATTGAGAAATTTTTACTTATCATAATTTATGATCGCTCTGTAAATAAAAATAAATAAAATATTTTTTTTTAAACATAAAACATCAAAGTTAGGCTTTGTCCTAAATATGGTTGCCAACCGGCTTGCCAAGCGAATGTTGCCATGCTAAGCAACTACTGATAGAACCCCCCAAGAGGAGGCCTATGTTCAACAGTGGACAGTTAATAGCTAATAAGATGATAATAATGATGGCCTTACTTTATGTGATATTAGGCTAAGAATACCACGCCACACCTCTTTACTTCATCTTTACGATGTCATAAAAGGCAACTAAGAGAACGAAACACAATACGCCAGTATAAGAAAAGGAAACTTTGAAATTGTATGCATTTACAATTGTATGTTATTATTCTACTCGTAAATAAGGGTTCTACTTCTAAATAAGTGTCTGTGCTCAATAAGAGGACATTAATAGATTATTATAGTATTTAAGCTCTAATCAAAATACTAGAAAGGAACTATTAATGAACTCATGATTAAGGACTCCACAGAGTCTGCTACTGCACTGATAACCCCAAAAAGTTACGTAAAGCTGATATGAATAATGACAATTTAGTATGAGTTACGATAATGATTTATGATAATAGGTCGGTTGGTGGGATATGCGTAAAGGTGGAGAGCCAGCTGGTATTTGTCCCCCACATATGGCACATCGAGATCTTGCACGCAATGTCCTTTTCATCAACTCTAAAATTGGGGCAGAATTTTTCTCGTCTTCTCCAGATGGTGTAGTAAAATGGTAAGAGAAAATGTAACCATTTATAATTATAATTGATGATGATGATGATGGAAATATATCGATTTATATGGTGTTCATATTATACTTGAACTGTGTTTCAGGTGGGATACACGAAATATGAATGAACCAACCGACTCAATGATAATTGATCTGGTGAAATCACCGACTGATACGCAGAGTATAGAGAACGCTATCGGAATATCAGCACTAGAATATGAACCAACGATACCAACGAGGTAATATACCTAATATTATGTTCCTGAACAATTGAACAAACTGAAAGAAAATAAATGAAAAAACAAAACGAAAAATGTACCTACATGATGTAAATCCTCGATACTCGATATGTCACGGCTGATTCTGTTTCATGTCAAAACCATAAAATCTTTGTATTCGAGGTCTTCACTTAGTACCTAACTTTAATTTTTTTATAAACAACGAATTTATCGCTGATTCATCATTTTTAGCAAAATAACGAAGACATAAGTTTGAAACGGGCATCAGCATATTTAGTATCGTAATACGTATGTGTATCTATTTGAAATGAATAGTAAATAACAAATCCAAACCAATGTATGTACATTTCTATATTTTACAGATTTATGGTTGGAACTGAGACAGGTCTTATCATTGGAGGAAATCGAAAAGGAAAAAATGCTGTAGAGAAACTTCCAACTAGAGTAAGTTTTACCTTTCGTAGTACTTAATAAGTTTATAACCCTTATTAATATTGTAAATGTGTAAATGAGTTTGTTACTTTATAGAACCTTAACAGCTTAATCAATCACAATGAAATTAAGTATACACGTACTATATGGGATGGATAAGGATGTAGGCTGTTATCCTGTTTATCCAGGTCAGTAAACATATCGCAGTCACGCAGACGAAGTCGCGGGTAAAAGTTATACTCGATTATAATCGGCATAATAATTATTAAGCAATATAAATATATAGATAGAAACAAACGGTAGTATATTTTTTATATGTTTTCATAATACTGTTTAGATTTATATTTCCGACTAACTCAGAGTGGCGGTAATAGGTTCACCTCTGCACGTTGGATTCTAAATTGTCGAGCAATGGAATGGTAAACCCTGCCTACGTTATCCGTATAAGCTGGCGGGGCACCATTGAGAGATGATAGCTGAGGATGAAAGCAGATCAGTCGGTCCATCGAGAACAATTCGACAAGAATAAATAACGATGATTTTCAGGGGGAAACCGCGCGAAGGTCGACCCGACAAGGTACATTACCATCAATGAGACTGTTAGAACCTATTTCTAACAAACCCTTTTCCCCTATCGAGTAAGTATTAAATACATTTACAAGGAATGTTAATAATCGAAGAATGCCTCTGACTACTTCATCAAATTTTAATATTATAGGATACATTTGTCCCTGTAACATATTCTCGAGGGATAATACATATTTTTTGAACCGTTTAATACTACCTTATGATTGAAGGCATTCATACGTTGAATAATTTCGATATAAATTCCTTTGAATTCTAGTATGAAGCCCACCTTGGACCAGTATATGCTTTACAACGTAATCCCACATTCTTAAAAAACTTTTTGACTGTTGGAGATTGGACTGCTAGAGTGTGGAGTGAGGATTGTCGGGAATCATCTATTTTGTGGACATATTCACATCGTACAAAACTTACCGATGGCGCATGGAATCCCATTCGGTATGACATTAGATATTTATAGAAATTTAGAATTTCGCCTATTTATTACATGACCATACAAACAAGAAGTGTAACGTTTTCAGGATTTATATATGCGAATTTCTTATTTCACCTTAACAGATTTAGATATGTTTGTATGGGGTATCGAAAGAATCCTTACATCACCCCGATCATTTTTTAAAATAGTCCGTTATATTTTATTTATTTATTTTTTTTTTTTTTTTGATAAAGGACTGACCTGGATTTTTAAGCAAAAATGAATAATTCTCACCAAATTTGCACGCCGTGGGAACCGAGCGCGGCGTTTTTTTTTTTACTTCGTACGTAGCGGTAGCCATGCAGTTTTTTTAACTAATCAAAGAAACAGCCACTTCAATCATGACAACACATATATGAAGTCAACAAGGGATTAAAGTTCATGACTTATAAAAAGAACACAAAACGACGTGAATGAAATGAGTCATTCATTAGATTATAATTTTTTTTAATATGATTATTCAATTAATTAATTAATTAAACTTATCTGACCTGATGAAAAGGACTCGCCATAAGATAAAACGCGATCGGCAAGGTTCTTTGCCTAAACATGTTCAATATTTGTATCACCGATCTTTGAACTAGACTATTGTTCGATTTATAATAAGTTCTGCTATTAACTTTTTCATAATTTTTAGCTTTTCATTCTACCCCGCAATAAATTAAGCGTGAAGATATATAAATAGCTGTTGACTGAATCAATACCTACATGCAGCGAAAGCAGTATGATCGGAAAATTTTGAATTTCATTATCTCTAGTGACCATAATAAGAAACGAGCGTGCATTATTTTGTCTATAAAAACTAATACATAAGAGATAACGATAATAAAGGTATGAGTACGTAAGTCGGTTTTGTTACTCAAGTAATCACTTCCAGGCACGCCTTAAATAGAGAACAGATAATGACAATAAGAGGCCAGTCTTTTGACTTTTTTCTGGTAATTCGCGTAATTACACGATAGATAGTGAATAGTGACGTATCATATACTACTGATAACTATAAAATTTACTTCATTTTACTCTCTTATTATATCGTGGGGGTAAAACCATGTGGATTAATAATAATAATAGTGATGTTGCCTAAACATACCAGAGGGAGACTTTGTACAAAAGTCGTTTGCTTGGGCACCACTGTACCATTCGTGTTTCTATCATGAAACAGCTGTTTGCGTGAATTTACAGGGTATAAAGGAATAACACCTGAGTCCTTAGGAATGGCAACGCATGGGAGGGGGGGGGGGTTTATCATGGTTGAAACAGTATTCTGTTATGTCTATGGTACTGCTTATGTCTATAGACGACGGTTACCACTTTCCATCAGGTGGGCTGTCACCTTATTTGCCATTCTAAGTAGAATAAAAAAAAACAAAAAATTTATGGAATAATAATAATGACAAATGATGAATAAATGGTGATTTATGAAAAAAAAAATGTAATTGTGAAAAGTGTCATGTATATATTGTATGTATCCGTATAATGCATGTGTATCATAAGTTAGCCTTTAACTGTTTACTGCTGAACATAGCCCTCTTAAGGGGTGTTTTTCCAATAGTTGCCATGCTTACCGGGCCAGTTGGCAATTATAGTTAAACTTTCGTGATGATAAAAAGGAAGGGGGTACCCCTTCCTTTCCCGCGGACATCGTAAGAGGCAACTAAGGGAACTTAATGATTGAGAGATGAGCAGCGGCGTCTCTCTTGAAACATCACCAAGAAAAGGGTACCCTTAATGACCTATTCTATGACGCAACCACGCGGCGATGTATGTGTGTATATATATAATATTTATTTAAAACATACATTACAGATTCTCTTTAATGTTAATTACACAATGGGACGGCTGTCTCTCTTGTTGGGACTTGTTACGGAGACGAAGCGCACCGCTCGTCACCGCACAACTTTGCGATGAACCATTGCTACGCTTACGTCCACACGAAGGAGTAAGTTCTGACATTGGAGCCGATTCTGATGCGTCATTCCCTAAACCTATCTCTTAACACAATATTTTGTTAATTTCGCAAAATTGCTGTTTTATGAACCATCATGAACTAAATTAAAACTAAACTTCACTTAAATCTATTGAAATTTATTTCATATTGGTACATAGAATAAATATTGTGCTATAATACCAAATTTTAATTTTAGAGATAGGATTAAAGAAATGGTGTCTCAGAATCGACTCCACTGACATCACAAACTCTATTGTGCTGTACAAAAACTTCCAACTAGAGTACGTTTCACCATTTCTTAGTACTTCATAAGATAAGCTTATAGCGCCTTACCAGCCTAACCAATCACTATGAAATTTTGTATAAACGTACTGTATGAAGAAGGATATAGGCTTTTTGTCCCGATCAGTAAACAAATCCTGGTCACACGGACGAAGTCGCGGCTAGTGCCTAATGTCTTCATTTCAAAACGATAGTATTAAAAAACAGCCTCATTGCTAGCAATACACCCCATCAGGTCAATCTCCACGCGATTCCCCCTGGAAACTATAGTGCTTAATTCTTGTTCAATTGTTCACTATGGGCCAACTGACCTACTTCATCCTCACCTGTCACTCTTCACTGGTGCCCTGCCAGCGTATACCGATAGCGCAGGCGGGGTAACCATTCAATCTTCAGTCATTGAAAAAAAAGTATAAAAAAACAAGTTGGGACACAGTGTCAATGAATTTATCATGAAATTTAATTAAATCACAACTTTTCCCCGTTCTTACCTAAATGCATATTTTTTATTAATTAATTTATGTATTCCAGGGTATATTAGTTGCTTGTGGTAGCAGTAAAGGAACTATATATTTAGCAGAATTATCTCAAAATTTAGGTACGGCGGACAAAAATGACAAGTTACTATTGACAAATGTAAGTAATACAGTTATGCACGTTTTGTTTTGAGAAACGAATCAAGACTTGTGTAAACGATGGAAACTTTGTTCAGAAATCTTTTATGATCCATACTTAAGTCTTATTTTAATATGTGTTCCATTATCTTCGTAATATAATAATTAGTGTGCCAGAAATCTTTTATGATCCATACTTAAGTCTTATTTTAATATGTGTTCCATTATATTCTGTGTCATATATATATATATATATATATATATATATATATATATATATATATATATATATATATATATATATAATATAACTAAACAAAGTCTGTACATGGAAGGTGTTTAAGAAAAACTAATGTTAGTCTCAATAAGACTAATACATGCCAAAAATTATATTTAAAATTTTAGTTTATTTGTATGTTTATTCCGGAACCACGCAAAACTACTGCATCAAATTGGATGCTATTTCCACAGTTTTCTTTCTAAGGAGCTAACTTAAAATCGGGTGTGTTTCATCTTGATACGCCATTTAGAAGTGATCCAAGTAAATTCCACGCGGAATAACGAAGTAACGGGCAAAAAGCCATTGATGAAATAACGTATGGGGAATATTGATCATTGCCTACACAAGCCTACGGACCACACCATACCACGAGGGCCACATTATCTGCAACATTCGTGATTACATTTATTTTATACGACTGTAAATACACAATATTCTATGAAAATATTTCGGTTTTTTTGCACACTCCTTTGTCAAATGAGTTGCTAGCCCACTTTATAACATAAAAAATACGTCAATAGTACCCTTGATTAGTTTATCATTATGTCACTACCTACTGATAATTCCTATAAATTAGCAAATTAAAAACGATAAATGTACTATTATCTGTCTAATAATGTTTACAAATTATTACATAACTGTATGAAGTATTAACAAAATATCTAGCTAATCTTAAATATTGTAGACGGGGACTATTTTATCAGCTATAATCATAAATAACTATAATTGTAAACCATATTGATCACCGCCAAATTGATAATTTATAGATATTAGAACGCGAAAACAAACGTGAACGCATTCTTGAAGCCCGTATGAGAGAACTACGATTGAAAATGCGACAGGATCGTGATGGTGGTCAACCGCAAACAGAAACTGATCCTACCAGCTACGATAGGGAGATTGAAGAAGCCACTGCAGAGTATATGCAGACAATAAACGCATTGAAGGCGCAACAAACGACACAATAAGTAACATACTGAAGTATTAATTCCGAAATTGATTAGAAGTGAAAATAAGCTCGTAGTCTTTCAAGTGCTTATTCAATGAATTAATACACAAGAAAGTAATCGTATATTATGTATATATATAATAAAAATTAAAAAATGATTGGATTAATTTTAATTGAACTTTATAACAATAACTAAAAATCATCAAAAGTGGTTCATAGTTGCCATTACAGATACTTAAATTTAAGATCTTATCCGACAAATAAAATTAATTTCATCTCAAAATTAGTTTAGGATCAATAATTTCAAGTGAACTTTCGAACAAGTAAACCATACTGCAAATTAAATGATCATCTGTTAAAAATTAACTTAAAAATTAATTGAGGATATCCTCTTTTTTAAGTTATTTAAAACTATTCCTTTAAGTCTGTTGAAAAATAACATAACTAGATATATTGTGGCCACTTTAATTGGATAAACATTATCCTACTTACATCTACTACATTTAATATTACTAATATCAGTCACTTCCACTTCACACTATTAGGATTATTTCATTAACATAATAGATATGCTTTGTGGTTTCATATTGTTTTGGCACGTTTCTATGTAGTTTGCTGGGCAGCGTCCTCTTGTTTGAACGCAACAAATGACCAACGGTGCTCAATGTTGGCACCGACACCGGTGGTTGTCCGGTCAAACACGTCTGGATGCTTCTGTAGGACGTGGTGGACTGTTGCTTGAGACACGTGGGGAAACAACGCCCGAACGTATGACACTACGTAATCCAGACTGGCACCTTGTGGATGAACCTGGGAAAAGATTTCCTTTATCAAAACCTAGCTTTAAAGAGCGACTTCTTATGTATGAATGGGGTAAAATGTAGTTTCTCTTTTTCTGTCTCAAATACTACGTGAATACCAAATTCCATGAGTAGATTAGTTAAATCATCGTTGTTAAAGTACCAAAAAGTAACAATCACGCTTTCCCAATTACAATATTAGTAAGGACTTAGAAAAATAATTTAATGTTAACCAACCTGAAGGAAAGCAGACATAACTCCGATCAGCTTTGCTTCTCCACATCCAGCTTCCACTTTTTCTTTCAAATGTACCTTTGAATCCACATCATCAGGCAATGGTGGTGGTGGTGGCGGCTTCACCACGGGTGACGGTAAAGGTGGCTGTTATAAGTTACAATACAAATACATTTTAAGTCTCAAATAAAGTAAAAAATCTTGGCATTATTTTTGACAATAATTTGTCATAGTCTCCATAAATCTTGGAGGTTAATAAAAAAAAAAAATTTTTGCTACCACTGATGCCTTCAATAGGTTATAGTAATCTCCTCCCTGTCAACACCAATATTGCTCTCACACGCACCTATATGATACTATTACATGCACCCACATATATGATCACATTTCTTAATTTCATCCTCAAGTGACTTTCTAATAGTTTTCGACGTAATCTGCATATTCTATGTATTTTTTACGCAATTTTTTTAACTCCGTTGTTCCTGATTATCTAAAAGACTAGTTCCTGTATCTCAGTGAGGCTAATGGCAATACTTCGCGCAATATCAACTATCTTCGTCTCAAATTTCCCGCTCATTCCTTCTCTCTTCGCTCTTCCTTTTATTCTATAGATCCTTTACTGTGCAGGCAGGTCGTCTATGGAACGTTTTATACTCACACACACACATACATATATATATCCTTTATTTTTTTTTTTTACACAAAGTTTGTCTGACCACCTTTTGTATAACATATAATTAATAAATGGTGCCGTAAATAAATAAAGTAATTTTCATATTGAGAATTCACTTTATTTATATTTTACTATAATAAAAGATGAAACAACACCATGAGTTTTAATATAAATTTATTTCACTATCTATGATAATAATAAATATAAAACGTTATTTGTCAAAATCAGTAAGTTAAGGCGTGACAAATATGAAACAAACAAGGAAGTAAACTTTAAAATTTGCCAAATCAAAATCTGTTTAGTATTCATACAAAAAAAGAGAATCTCATCCTTTTTTAAGTCATTTAAAAACAGATATAAATATTTAGAATTTCCTCTATTTGAATTTTCACTATTTATACAAACTATATTGAACAAAATTGTATAAAAGTGGGACTTAATGCTATAGGTATTCTCTACCGACCAACCCTTACTATATCGATTATGATATTTGGTAAATTAAACCTTGTTTGTACATGACAACTGGTAAATTTTATTAAAGATTTAAAGATGTAACTTACGTTTTTTTCCAGAGCACCTTGCAATGCTTGTCGAGCTATGAACTGAGCCTTAAACTTTTCCATCTCCTTTTGTGCATCCGTCTTTATGACATCAACTTCATTCTTATAAGCTTCCAATTGGAATTGTAAACTTTCGTTCTCACGCTGTAATATTAAGATTACATGAATATTATCACTCGAATATTATCCGTGTTGAGATAGTCAACTGTTGGGGTAGTCAACAAAAATAGTCATTGTGGTAAACACGAATATACACATGCTCACATTTTGCTAACATATTACAATCGAATTTGGTTTATTACCGGTATTTTTCATTGCAGGACAATTAATTGGAAAATTAAATTTACATCTAAAGTTTCTGTTGTCAGTTAGATTATTGAGAAATATTATAATTGTTACCTTTAGTCGTTGATATTCTTCGCTTGTATCCGCATTTCTATTGGAGAAACCGTTAAATTCATTATCCTCATTAAAGAACTTCTCGTTAAATTCTTCTTTTAATGAATTAAATTCCTGAAAAATATTCATATTTAATATTTATTCTGACATTGCACTTTTGTATATTTTGACACAAATACACTCATTACCTGGTTTGTTATTTGCTTTTACCTGTAACCGCTGTCCACTGGATCATTTTTATTGAATACAACTTACCTACTTTTTTCATTACAATTTCACTGATATTAGTAACGCAAAAACGTGTAACCTTCTAAATTATTTTCAATACATAGTGTATTTTTCATATTTAAAATATTGACTGCTCAAAACTTAATTTATTTGGTAATGAAATTGTAACGAACAACACATTTAAGTTCTTTCATTTACCGTTGTTATTCTTAATCACGTTAGTAATATTTATTCCTAGTCATTGTTTAATAGAACACCATGACTTGATGTACCTGAGTCATTTTCTGCCATGTCTCGATGTTCTTCCGCTGTGGTTTCGTAAAGTGATCCCACACGCGCTGATGGGCTGCCGCTGTAAACACTTTCGCCACCTGCTCGACTGAGGTTCACAAATAATTATGTTAAGAGGCGTTGCATAAGGCCGCAGTGAGCAAACATACCGTCGGCAATCGCGACCGGTTGACCCAGGCTCTCAATACGGTTGCCAGAATGCGTGCGTGGCGTTTCTACGTCTACCTAGGGACTCGACGCGTCTGCACTGTAGTGAAAAGCTGGCACGCTGGATCTCGCGTCCGAGACGTGTCTCGAGACACATGACAGTGTGTTGCCACACAGAGAAACCGACAATGTTTTGACAAAATATTTTCGATACACTGCTAAATAATTAATATATATATATATATATATTCCATTCCTAAATACATTAAATTTATTCACTCTGCTGATGAAACAAATAATTTATAATATAGCAGATATCAAAAATATATTTGTTAAAACATTTGCGACTTACATTACTCCACTATTTCTGGAGCTATTGAATTTTTACACGATACTTAAGACTTCAAGTAATCTGCAGAGCACGGCAATCCCTCGATTGAGTACCACTACTGAGATATTGAGATAGAGCAGAGAGTGACCATATTATGTAATTATTAGCTAAATAAATATTAAATATTCTTTTATAAACATTTTAAATTTACAATATATTGATTGCCTGTTTAACTGTATTTTTCAAATTCTGTTCAAAAAACAAAGGACAAATGTCAACATTGTATTACTAAAGTATATCCAATTGCGAGCAACCATAGTGACTAACCGCCGCCTATGGGAACAGATTTATAGAAAATAAAAAAAAAAACATATGATCATAATTCATATGTCTGAATATTATTTTAATTTTTATTCCACTTAATACACTATAATACCCAATAAATATTAAATGACAAAATAATCCCATTCAATGTTAATAAAATTCATAGTTATGATACACGTCAGAAAGCTGGTTCAAGACGGTTAAAAAAGAAGACTCTACTCCATAAAAGTTGATTCTTCCATTAGTAATCAGATTAGAGAAAGAGTGGAAAATTAAAATAATAAATTCATAAGAAATATACACAGATACAAGTACCTATATATCAATGTGTATGTGTAAATACCATGTTTAGGACTCAATATTTAAAAATATTTTACAGTCGATTTTCATAATAATTATGAGTTGTATCTTTATATCTGAATGTTTTATATATCAATCATGCTATAAAGTAGTCAATTTGGTTGCTCGTGAGTCTACCATACACTATATCAATTTTGAATACAGTATTACAAAACTATAATTTACCCTTCACCATACTCTGTTGAATGAGATTTTTATGCATTTTGAATGATAACAAAATACCATGATTTATTCAGCAACGCCTGGATAATGTTTTCATTAAGAAAACATTATGACAATACCTTACCTTTAAATATTATATAACAATGTACAAAAAGTCTCTTTCCAGAAATACTTGTGTCCATCAATGTTCACGTACAGATCCATAAAAATATAAAGAGTTCTTATTATACTCACGTTGTTCAATAACTTTCTCTATATGATTTTTCACTCTTTCTTTACATTCCTGCAATTCCTCTTCAGCTTGCACTTTTTCATTAAATAATCTCCGTATGTGGGAATTTGTAGCTTGAATCATTGAATAAAATTGATTTGCATTCTTTTTTGAACATTCACCACGTTCCAGCCATGCGATAAGAGTCTATAAGGAAAAAATTATAAAATGACTAAACACTTAATAACATGAGCAGAAATATATGAGAAATCAATGATGCTATTAGATCATATTACTAATAATCCTTTTCTCCCTTCATTTCCTAAGTTATCCTTACTAAGAATCAATCAGACCCTTTTACAGATCATGCCTTGATATTACTGACAATTTTTAAATTAATGATTGTAAGGCTATTATTGTAGGGACAAAAGTATTATCAATAATTTAATACTTACAGGAAGAGTATTTGGAAAATGTTCTTCATTTTTAATTTTTTCCACTAATTGAACAATGGCAGCATTGGAAAATGGTTGAATTCTCACTGGTGAAGGAGACCGCCGATATGATGCAATGCTGCGATTAGCTAGCTCCTGTTGTGCAGTCAATTGCTGCATTTGTGCTTGTTGTGCACGCAGTGCTTGCCGTTGACGACGCTCATACTCATTTTGATCATCTCGACTCTAAATAAGAATTACAAAGATATAATTTAAATTTATTGTTAATATCTACGTGTATGCGAAGTCTATATTATAAAAAGTGCACAATTAACAGCTACAAATATGATGATAATGAATTACCCAATATCAAGATACAGAGCATATTGTTGCATGCTAAAGTATAAAGGAATATGATTGTTGTGGCCAACACATTCTGTAATGTCCTAATGTTTATGACTTAATAAAGTTTACTGTTTTTATTTTCGATTAGATACACTATTGTCAGGTTGTTATCATTTTAATATATTTTTTTTTATGAAATATGTTTATATTAGTAGTATGACCGTATAATAAAGTATCAAATACATACATATAAGCAAATACACACTGCCATAAATAACACTTTTTTATGTTTGCTATTCCTAATACAAAAAAGAGAACAAGAAATATATTTACCAATGCATAGTCTACATGCAACCAGCCTGAAGTTGTGTGAGAATCATCATCTTCGTCTTTTTCATCTTTATCTTTACTGATCAACTTAATACGATACCCAGACAGCTGCATTGCTGCATCCACAGAGCTCTCTCTGTCAAATCGTATATGACAAAAATCTTTTTTAGATAGTCTTAAAGTATGAATCCTGCCATATGGTTCAAAAATTTCTCTGACTGTACTCTCCCTTATTTTTTCTGGTAAATAACCAACGAAAATAGTACGACAACCAGGAGGTTTCGCTCTTCGAGGAGGCTGTGGTGTGCCAGCTGTAGGCGGAATTAGTATACAGTGTTTAAGAATAATTTCCTTCTTTTCTTGAACTGTGGCTATGTCAGTACCCATGTTAGAATACATTCCTATCATTGAAGGATCCATTACCATACCTCCCATCATACTTATATCTATGGGAGTCGAACCTGTTGCAGAAATAGCTTGTGCTCCAATTGTTGATATATCCATTGTTGACTGAGACATCAATTCCATTCCTGTACCTGACATCATTTCCATAGCAGTAGAAGGCATCATGCCTCCAGCCATCATTCCTGACATCATCATATTTGGATACATCCCACCAGCCATCATCATATTACCTAGAATATATACATATTTATAAAAATAAATTGTACTGAGTTTTGGGTACATAAGATATAGAGTTTATTAAATTAATTTAACAGTAAGCAGTTACCATATAAAACATGTAAACTATAAAAGTGCCAAACATGTATAGGGCCTTATAGGGACATTTATAAATTTACGCCATCTAATACACAGGATCAAATTATGCACCTTCTTTGAGTTCTAAACATAGTGCATAAACGAGAAATGTGCTCACTCGATTTACCAAGGTATCCAACCCCTATTTGCTAACAGTGGTGATCACTCACTACCATTATTATTGAAGAAACCAAACAGTAGTAAATGTGATGCTCCAAGAAGATTTAAACACACTGCCACAATCACATAAACATAATTGCTGTCTTTTTTTCATCATCACTCTGGACTATGGATGCAAATTTGATTACGCCTTGGTTTGTGCGCACCTTTACTTATAATAAATTAATTTCATATTTCAAGCTTAGTTTCTCTTTAGTTTTATAATATACCATTATCACAATATAAGTAATAGTACTAAAGTACAGTATGGATACTCCTTGCTGCCCATTGCGATCTGTTCTCTTCCCTTCTCAAACACGTATCAGCTACCATATTTTAATGGATGTCTCTAGTGACAAAGACTAAAGTTTAATCTACGCTTCAAAAGACGCCAGATATCTTCAATGTCAAATAAAAACAGAGGATAGCTTTTCTTAATTTGAACAAAAATACAGAGTTATTAAAAATTTTAAATTCGATGTTTACCATTAGGTAAACTTCGAATTTAAAATTTTGTGGGTGTAGGTGGTGTAGGTAGGTGTGCTAATGCCCACCTAATTATACTCGATAACTGTCATATACACATGAAAAAAGCTATGTGCTTCCTAGAATATACTGTGAACCCCGTGACATCACTCATATGTTGCTATTATTGAGAACAGAAGTGTTATCCGATAATTTAAAGCCCTTATTAATAAAAATATATCATACTTGTGGCTCGCTAGGGCTTCGCACGGATGGTCATTTATATTTTAAACATTTTGGGATAAACGTAGAGTAAGTGAATATTTTGAAGAGTCAAAACTTTCAATGTCGGTAGCGTCCGCTGCGTAGGAAACCGACAGCGCAAATGAACCGTGCGGAGATCCTATCTTATATAAGTATGTGCGCCGCGCCGTCCGATGCCACGCGCTGTGGCCACCGGTGTCGCAAGCAAGGGATTTAAACACAGAACAAAATCCGTAATATCTTTGGCATAGAATGTCCGATTTCATTAATTCAAAGAGACACAATCTACAGGCATTGAAACAGTCTTGAATACATTTATTTAAATATTGATATGATAAGAATTAGAACTGTGTTAACTGTAGTACACCTTTGTTATTTTCCAAAGATTTAATTAATATTTTACAACAAAGCTGTGCAGCTTTGTCAAAGCCAAAGCTTCAATCGACATTCAACAATATATGAAAGCGTGTGTTTTACCCGTACTAACCCTAAATACACATGCACACATTGTTTTATGTACAGACATTTCTTGCTTCCGTAGTTGTGAGAATCACAGATTATTTTTATTCGAAGTGTCTGGGTAGTGACAGTCCTGTTTTAGCCTAAAAACATACAATAAATAATTTTGAAAAGATTAAATAAGTTAGATACACTTTACCTTGTGAATACATATTTGTCATCATCATCTGATTCATGACGTTTGACATATCATTCCCAGTTTTATTACTGTCTTGATTTTTACTATCTCTTCTCCGACCGACATTGTCTACCCTCACTGGTGAACGAGATCTATCTCTTTTATTTCCTGCAAGTAAAAACGGATAACATAAATTATTCCTAATGTATATACATAACTATGAGACATTATTTAAGGGCAAAAGGTATAAAACAAGAAGAAGCATTACATTTAACACAGATATAGCTTAAAACTATGTACATCAAACATTAATACTTTTTTGATATTTTGTTATGTATACGCCTAGTTTTTGTGGAGAAAATCTGGTGAGCCTGGGAAAATGTTTTAGAAAGTAAAAAATTTGTAACATTATCCATACATGATCTAAGTTAGAAATACGCTAAATAAGATCAATCTATAAAAATACTAGCGACTAGCCCCGGCTTCCCACGGGTACACATTACATCACATTACATTAGAAACCTCTAAAATAACAGTGCTTCTCTAGTATATTATGCATATATTATATATATAAACCTTCCTCTTGAATCACTTTATCTATTAAAAAAACCGCATGAAAATCCACTGCGTAGTTTTAAAGATCTAAGCAATCATAGGGACAGACAGACGGGAAACGACTTTGTTTTATACTATGTAGTGATTATGAATAGGTAAATTTCTGATGTTTAGGGCAATCTCCAGTACTACTGATACGATTTTGAAAATTCTTTTACTGTTAGAAAAATATATTATCCTTAAGTGTTATGAACTACTTTTTATTTTGATAAGTATATATTATCAATATTTAATCACAATAATTTTAATTGATATAAAGCAATAAAAATCTATAACTAATCGGGCCCCAAATACTGTTACATAAAAACTTTTCTTTTTTTCAACTTTTTCATTATTTTGAATTTGGAACACGTTTATTATTTTAAAAACTTTAGATTTCGCGCCATTTCACATATTATTTCGTGTTCATTATCAAATTACAATATGGAATGGAGTGTTGAAGAAAATAGGATTGCAGTGATCGCCTTGCACAAAGTGGGTATAGAGCCATCGATTATATTCCAGACACTTCAAAAGCTTGATATCAGCTGTATGTATATCGTACTATCAACAGATACAATAACGCTTCCTCTGTTGAAGACCAGAAAAGATCGGGGCGGCTTGCTGTTGGAACTACTAAAGCTATTAATGCTGTGAAAGCCAGAATTCGTCGAAACCCCATTAGGAAGCAAAAAATTTTATCGCTAGAATTGAAGATTTCCGCTAAGACTCTATCGCGTATTATAAAACAAGACCTGAAGCTCGATACTTATCGTCGATACACAGGACATGCCCTAAATCAATCTTTACAATTAAAGAGAGTGTATTGATCAAAACGCCTTCTGTCACGATACGCATGTGAAAGGCACAGAAATATCCTCTTTACCGATGAAAAATTTTCATGATTGAAGAACACTACAATAAGCAAAATGATAAACTAAAGAACATATTCTCATAAAGAACAAATCACAGTTCTAAAGAAGCTGCTCAAGTAGTCAGAAAGGTACAACATGGTCATCATCCTGCATCAGTGATGGTTTGATGAGTCATGTCTTATCAAGAAGCGACAAAACTACATTTTTGTAAAAAAGGAGTAAAAACTTCAGCTAAAGTGTATCAAGATACAGTCTTGGATTGTGTTGTGAAACTTCTCAGCAATACACTTTTTAAAAATATACCATGTACTTTCCAGCAGGACTCTGCACCTGGTCACAAAGCATAAACTATCCAAGCCTGGCTTGAAACCAACATTCCAGACAGTATAATAATATATACTGAAGACTGGCCCTCATTTAGCCCAGACCTCAACCCTTTAGACTTCAGATTATGATCAGTTTTAGAGAACATAGCTTGCTCTAAACAACATGGCCACATTGAGTTTCTTAAAAAATTCTTATGCGTAAATCACTAGTAATAATAGTGCATAAAATAGGTATAAATTTTAATATTAAAAATGCATTTTCATTTGTAAAGGAACTTATAGATGGACTAGGTAAATTAATTAATGTAGCTTTACAAAAAAAAAGTCTATACCATATATATCTAAGTTTAATATCATTACAAAAAATAATTTATATGTTAAAAGTAAAACAAATTTTACAAAATTAAGTTTGGATAGAAGTTTTACAAATATTTTACAAATTCTTATAAAAACAAATAGTTAAATTAAAATGGAAATTTTATGGAGATAAAGTTTACTTATTAGAGCATGTTCAATGACATAGTTGGTCAGAAGATAATGTGAAATAAAAACAATAAGTTGGAAAAATTATTGTATTAGTGCTGTCGCTGGCCGTGCGCGAATAGTAGGTGGGGTGCAGAGGTAAGGGGCACAGAAGGAACTATATAAATGTGTGGACATCAAATTACTAAATAGGTTTTTTAAACTTTAAAATCTTAGAATATTAGTGAAGTATTTTCACACACACCAAAATACCAGCCTTAAATATGTTGAAGTTTAAAAGTTACACAAACAAATATTGTACCTGTGTGAGCAAAGCCAGGACTGGTCATTAGTTGATTTACAAAAATCATACATAATGTTTAGGTTTAACAATACTTAATAATTATTAATACTTTTATATCAATTTCAACAGTGTCACCTGATAGGCATATCAGAGTTAAAGTATATACTACACCTCAAATGTAATATTTCTTAAATTTACCATTAGAAGCTTTGTTTTTCATTGAGAATCAAGTTACTAGGTACATCAATCACTCCATCAAGACAATTTATGTTAGTTCATGTTTAGTTCATGGCCCGATAGGAGTAGGAGAATTCAATGAGTACCCTTAGTTATGAGTTATTAGTCTTATGAGAATGCCAATTCTAGATTCCTTACACGATACACGCATTTAAATCTTTGAGTCGATAAAATGATTGGCTCGATTAAGGAGAGTTTCACAAAAAATAAAATACACCAAAACAAATTCAAACGTTGAGACAAAGAAATTAAAAAATAGGACAAATTCTAGAAGATAAAACATAATAATAACTGTAGAGTGAAGATAAACATTGTAAATAGAAATAAACATAAATACCGACTATCGAACCAATTATATTAAAAGAGCAAGCATAAAATTTAGTTTTAATTTTATACTGACCAGCCATTTTTTAGAAGTTCCGTAAGACACAAAAGTATTGTCACAAAAATAATTTTTAAGTGTACATAATAATTCAGTAGTAGTGATTATCTAGGAACAAAAGGGATATGCAATTTTTTATATTAATTTAGTACTACAAAGTCAAATATTAAGAAATAATCAAAAAATCAAGAAAACAATAAATTCACAGATTAATTACAGATTCTCTCGCTCACAGATAAAAATATTTATGATTTATCTAAGACGAATTAATCTCGAATATATTTTTAACATTGACAGAAAGAGATTGATGGTTATGTTCTTACTGAGTGATTTAGGAATTAACGTTATAATTTTTTTAAGTTTTCCATTACAAATAATTATGATGATAAGTACACTGATCTTTCCTCTTTCTCACCTCTTTTGCACCCTCAGTCTATAATAATATAATATTATATTATTATAGACTAAGTGTTGAGGTTTTATTTAAGTTATTTTTAAAGATAGAATTTATTTATTTTTCTTGTTATGTCAGTCTATAATAATATAATATTATATTATTATAGACTAAGGGTGCAAAAATAGTAAAACTGTTTTACAATATATTATTTATAGAAAGAAATGTTTATTTATTTATTTATAAATTACTCACCACACTTACTGTATCCCAAAACGTGTAGCAAGCCATAGGTTTATTTTACAAACTTAATATTTAAATTATAATTACATGATAAATGTGCAATTTTGTATTTTTTTTTTTCTAATGTCTGTGAATTTAAATTATTTTTAGGTAGATCACTATTAATTACATCGCATTACAATAAATAATTAAATTGACAAAATTAAAAAGTGTTGTGTTGCCGCTTTAATCTGTGGTTGTGTTCATGTTGTAGTGTTGCATGATTACTTGCTCTGTTTAGTGTTGTTTATATTTAATTTGTTGACATTGAATTCTAACCTAAAGCACTTGATTTTAAAAAGATTAATTATTCGATTAGCCCTTATTGATAGAATTGAATCTATTATCTTTAATATCCTATAATCTGTTTTACGTAAATTTAAATATGTTAGGAGGTTTGAATTCGGCATCATAATAATTGAACAATAAGTGTTCTACATATATTTTCGGCATATTGAAATGTTATAGTAATAATTTTTTGAAATGTTTGTATTAGCCGAAATGAAGGACGTTATTCGCGTAACACCGGATCATTTCCATCAAAGTTTAACGGAATCTATTACGACTTTACTTAATAGGAAACTCGCTAATAAGGTAGTGAATCCAATCCATGTTTACGTCGAATGACCAGAAACATAGTTTGTTAAAGTACAATTAGCAGTACAATATTCTACTGGTACTTTTATTAGCCTCCTTATAATATATCTTTTTTTCAGAAACTACATTTTATTCAGTTTTGTATGAAATATGAAATAATCTGACACCCTAACCAAAGGAAACTATTATATATAATACTTGCTTGTAAATATGAACATCTGAGAATACACACTGTGATGATGTATATTTTTATCTTTATTTTTATGATCTACTTATATACCTGTATTCAGTATATATATTTATGTTTTTAACTTTAATTATCATATTAACATACATATATTTAAACTATACTTTATTTTATACTTTCAGGTTGTACTGAATGTGGGACTATGCATAGCTCTTTTTGATATTACTCATATTGGGCACTCTTACATATTCCCAGGTGATGGTTCCTCCCACACTGAAGTCAAATTTAGATATATTGTATTTCGACCAGTAGTTGAAGAAATTCTCATTGGCAAGATTAGGAGTTGTAGTAGAGAAGGTGTTCATGGTATAGTATTTGATTTTAAATATATGAAAATATGAAATCAATGTTAGCATAAGATTAGAACAGGAGTAAACTCTATTGATTGTAAAAATAATTATCGTAATTAAAAATTGTATAAAATTTAAATTTTTTTGCATTTGTTTATTAGTGAGGTAAAATATGAACATTTATACAAACTAGCTAGTGGTCTGATGGAAAGTAGTCCTAATCCTTCCTACAAACATTTGCAACAGGGAAGATTTCATAGAATATGTGCATTACTATAGTATGATTGACTGTAGTTTTTATCTGTATGAAGTTTATAATAGTTATTGTATCCAATCACATATATTCTTTGTTATTGTAAACTAAACTAATTAATAAACTTAAATGTTAAACTAATTAACCTTCAAGCGCATGGTAATTTGTAATGGCAGCAGTCATACAATATCTTAAAAACCTGCAGGATATTTCAGAGAAAGTACTAATTGATTACTAACAATTAATTTTTTGCATACAAATGCATTATATTTTTATGCTAGGGTGTATTTTGTTGAAAAAAAGAACTTAAACGCAACTAAAAAGCCAAATATAATGAAAAAATATAAAATTATATAATCAATTGGCATAACTCAAATTTCTTCGAGTGCACAACAGTGTTTGTTTCTTATAAAATTTGTTAATTATATAAAAAAAAAAAAATTCGGAGGAGAAGGGGAAAGGGATGTAAATCATATATTCTGTACATAAAGAAACAAAGAGTGGCTTCTAATGATTAAAAATACATACGATACATATTTTAAATGAAAATGGATAGTAAATTCAGAAAAAAAATACTATAAAAAAATTCTTGATTCCTTGAATAAAATTTTTATTTCATTCTTTTATTGTGCTGCTATCTGTGGACTAAGGAATCCAATCTTATATTTTTAAATATTTAAGTTTTCTTTTAATTATTTTTTTTATTTGTATTTTTTTCAGTTACATTAGGATTTTTTGATGATATATTAATACCAGTGAATGCTTTACAACATCCATCTAGATTTGATGAAAATGACCAAGCTTGGGTTTGGGAATATCCTAAAGATGGCGAAAAGCATGACTTATTCATGGATTCAGGTATACTAATATATTTATATATAATATTAATTTTCAAATTGAAGGCAATTCTTATTTCAAGGCATTCTATCTACTTTAAAACAGGTGTTCTGGACCTTCCATCTATTTACTATATCTAGAACTAGCAACCCACCCTAACTTTGTAGGGGTACAATATTTATGTAGCTTTTGAATTGTTTAAATAATACATTTTAGTGTATAGATTACTAAATTAAATTTTGAAAAGCATTCTTTAAAAAACGAATTGTCCTATTTTATGATGACATTATTATATATATAATAATATTGAGTAGGGATATATTTACATTATAACATAAATTAAAAAATAAGAGGATCTTCATCGTGCCTCCAATCAAACTGTTTATAATTACTCCTCTCTATCCAAAGGTTGCCTGGAAGAGATCACTTTTAGCGATAAGGTCACCCATTGTTTTCTCATTGTGATTATTTCTTGTAATTGTTTATATCTAGTATAAGTTTACTATTGTAATTTTTTGGAGGAAACAAAAAAGAGTATCTATCTATATATTACAGGAGAGAATATAAGATTTCGAGTAACGAGTGAAGCATTTGAAGAAAGTTTGCCAATAGGACCACCAGGAACTGAACATGCAGTGCAAACTGTTGCCCCTTATAAATTAGTTGGTGGAATTAATGAGCCCGGACTAGGGCTCCTATCTTGGTGGGAGGCACCAGAACAAGATGATGGTGATGAAAATGATGAGGAACAAGAAAATGATGAATAAAATATTAAAATTCAATGTTTTTTTTTTATCTGAACTGGAACTTAACTGATAAAAACAACAAGTACCATTGCAACAATATAATTTAATATTTTTTTTTAACATTTTTTTATGCTCAATCACAGTATACACTAATAAGATATATAATGTGTATGTCAGAGGTCCATCCTAATCTGTTTGGCCCTTTGGTATTTCATTATCAAGAATAAGTAAGTCCATTTATTATTTATATACTTAGGCTAAGATTAATATTATATATATAATTTATTCAAATTTACTCAAATGAGTAAAAAAAATATTTAAATAGTGAATATATTTTTAACTAAATTACAAACACTACACAGAAACAAAATTATAATAACTATAATTTGTTCAAATCACAAATTAAAACAAACGAACAAAAGGCCAGAAATATTTCATAAACTAATAATTCTACTATTTAGCTATTATTTACTAATAGTACATGTAAGTATATAGTATATTTAAGTAAATATCGGATAACAGCCATACTACTTAGTATTCCAATTGATATGATATATACTATATCAGTGAGATCATTCACAGGCATATCTATAAAGATCTTATAGTTACAATCTATCACAATATAGATCCCCATTATGCGGGGATTATACTCTCCAATGATTACATCGTCATTGTCCAATTCAGTAAATAATTCGCAAAAGCTCCTTTAGGTGAAAAATTCTCCACCGAGTCTAGACCTGAACTCATCTCATAAATTTTTCTTGCTTTATATGTCTATTTCTAACGTACCGTATTATTATCTTATATGTTTTTAGAACTGTAATGAATGCTATGAAATATTCTTATGTTTTTCTATTAACTTTAAAACGAAAAAATTGCAAAGCCATGAAAATCACAGAAAAAACTGATTCTTGCGTTAATTAAAATAACTTAAAATGTCGATAACTGTGACATTACAGTAACAGTTGATAAATTCGAATAGGAACTAGTTATAAAATAGTTATTATACAAAAATAACAGCTATGTGTTAATGAATTAACTATTTCATATAACTAGTTATTTGATTTAAATTATTTTGTTTAATTCCATTAAGATTAGTATGTGTGTGACTGCCATCACTCAAAGATAGATTACCACGAATACTACCAGAAGTTCCACAATCATCCATATTATTCATCAAGCTCTGATTGCCAATCTATTTATACACATTTTGCGACACGTGTTTCACCTCTAAACGATGCATCTTAAGGCAAGTTATTAGACAGCTGCTTGATGTAACATCTTGATGTTAACTATTCGACACCCAATTTACTTCTGGTAATAATACTGAATATCAATTTTCAAGTGTTGGCAGTCACACACATACTAATATTAACGGAATTAGACTAAATAATTCTAATCAACCAATGACATAGACTTCTGCACAATAACATAAGATAGCTAGTTCAGTAAAATATTCCGTATAATTCATCCTATTTAGATAATTCTAAAGAAGAAAATTTGAAAAAATATATTTTCTTTAAAAATATAAGTATAATGTCAAGTACCCAGTACATAGTAAATGTTTTCACAAAATCTAGTAACGTATTGATCCGCATAAGCACCCATAGTTGATAATATAATTATATATCTAGTATGCACAGTTATGCTAAAAAAAAAAAAAAAACAAATCCATTACTAGCTATAAAAACCTAACCTACTAACCCAACTAACTAACCTACTAAACTTTATTTTAAAAAATTCAGAATGTCAATGGCCTCAATGGTCGCGTACTGCGCGGTTTCAGAGATGTTTCCTCCCACGAACACTCAGGTTGTGGAATGAACTCCCTGCCGAGGTTTTCCCAAGAGACTACAGCATGGGGTTCTTCAAAAGGGGGGTAAAGAGGTTTCTTCAGGGTCGGCAACGCACGCGTATTACCTCTGGTATTGCAGGTGTTCATAGGCTACGGTACCCACTTACCATCAGGTGGGCCGTATGCTTGTTTGTCACCTGTGGTATAAAAAAAAAAATGTCAATCTACATTCTTCTTCCGTTTTCATCAATATATATGCAACATATATTATGTACATGTATGTCGATGAAATTATGATTTATATATATATTATGAATGTTTCATAGTAAATTGATAATGTGAGTGTGCTAATGATTAAATGAAAAAGGTACTGATAAAAGCCAAATGCAAATTGTAAACATAAGACAGACGAAATAACAATTTTAGTCACGACTCATTTTTAAAATGGACTAATAGTTAAGAACTGTAGTATCTCTTAAAACGAATATCGCATTTCTGTTGGCATTAATTAATTTGCAATTGTATATAAAGCAAATTATGGCATATCAGTAATTACTTTTAAATGATAAAACAGTTCTATACTTAGATACGAGCAGTAAACAAAAAGTGACCATTTTATCTATAACAATTACTTCTGTATACAATTTAACATAATAGCAGATTAGATTTAAAAATTTATAATATAGAATCAAAACTATAATACTTAGCAGGAGATCACTACATCATTTTTTTATTATGGGAGGTGTGAGAGTCAGGAGGCGACTTGAAGGTGCAAGGTTGATTTTGTTACGCGTTGGAGTGCGTGATGAGGCATACGCCGAGTTGATAACAGCTGTAGAGGACTCGGCAAGCGCTGTGTGCTATTTAGGAGTCGTCTACTTGAAGGTGTACAGGAGGTCGGAGTTAGTGAAGTGGTGGGCATTGTTGACGTGCGCGATGAGACGCGCGTCAAGTAGGTGGCGGCCATAGACTACGGCATCGCGCTCGTCACGCGCCAATCCACAGTGCTGCAGCCAGCGCACTAGGCACGCGCCGCGGAACGCGTTTCGATATGTTCGCATACGCCATCTGCCGACAACGAGCAAAAGGTTCATATATTTTATCTTTGTCTTTTGTACCAATTTCTCAATTAAAAAATAACAAAACTATAACAGTCATGTTAAAATTACCTGGTGTCTTTCGCGATGGCTTCCTTGCATCTGTCTAAATGATGCGTTATGAATTGTTCACAAACATGTTTTGTTTCGAAACTTAGATCCTCTATTGGAGGAAGTACCACGGTGTCTGCACCATGCCTGAAATATTTTAAATGTGAAATAAGTCTTATCATTATATTCACAGAAGATTATTCATAACAATTCGCAAGTTTATGACAATTAAAAAACATGCTGTAGATAAACATTATGGATTACATGTATGTTACTCATAGTATGTAGCAAAAAATTAAAAAAAAAATTAATTGAACAAAATTAAATTTTTATGTGCATTTTATTTTAAATGTTCTAGTAGGTATAGTGTATGAATACCTGTCTGTATTTACTAATTTATAAAACAGAAAAATATAAGAATCCATAAAAATATCTGCCTTCTAAATTTTGAAATTATATATTCCTACACCTTTTTCTGCAAAAATATTATTGGGATTTAGAAATATTGTCTATTTACCATTTCTTCCTGAAATAATGTACAGTGGGTATTAATATTTCATCAGGGTCAAGTCCAAACAGTATAAACAAGACAAGCGCTTGTCCATAGTTAGTAGCAATATCCAAAAATTCAATTTCAATGAATACACCACTTTCGTCCTTTAGCATCATCCGCCAGGTCGTATAAGTTATTCCCTGAAATGTTTTATTTACTTATTAAGATGAAAAGAGATATGATAATTATACTGTTGTTTCATTACTAGTGCATATTATACAAATTATCATCAAAACTCCAAAAGATATATATAATTAAATATCATCATATCAGTTTGTTACATTATTCAACATAGGCCTCCACAAACTACCACAAAGAACAATCCTAAGTCACCTGCACCTATTGACCTTCTGCATTACACATGAGGTCCTCACTCAATCTATAATTACGATAATTATAAGTACAATGAATATGTGAACCAACATTTGGCAAATGGGAGAAAGGGATTATTAGTAACGAGAACAGCCTCATTGCTAGTAATATATCCTATCAGGTCGATCTTTACGTAGTTACTCCTGGAACTCAACATGTTTAAATTTTATTGAATTTTTTTATTCAACTAGATTGGCAAACAAGCTGACGGCCTACCTGAAGGAAAGTAGTAACCATCGCCTATAGACATAAACAGTATCATGAACATAACAGAGTATATTGTTTTGCACATGATACTCCCCAAGTGTTGCCAGTCTTGAGGACTAAGGTGTTATATTTTTGTACCCTGTAAATTCACTGTCATTTCCCACCCTTCAAACCGAAACACAGCCAAGCGAATACAACTATTTCATGGTAGAAACATGAATGAGACAAAATTATTCAAGCAAATGACTTTTGTACAAAATATCTCTCTGAATTGGTCATAATGAGCTAAATAACCTGATCTCATTTTGACTTATCATTCATCACTAGTGGCCCGTGGTTTACCGTTCTCTGATATCAAAGAAATTAATAATCAACATTGATTTGATGACGAAATATGATTTGACTCACAATGAACATGCTAAGGCTGTATACGATGATGAGTACGGTATGCTTGAGCAGCTGACCGCCACGTCCGCGTGCTTGCTCTGGGGGCAATAACCCCAGGTGTCCGGCGGCGCGTTCCAATTCGCCCAGGTACGAGCACGCCTCCGCTGCCATGCTGCAGCGGTTCCGCTGGGACAGTGGACACGCGCATTCCCTATAATACAGTCCTTTTATTAAAGCTTAATTTACAATAAAAAATTAGTTTTTTTTTTTTCATTTAAGAGTTTCCTCTTGTCGGTGCAACTAATTCATGCATCTTCTTCCAGCCAGCTCTATACCAGGCCATATCCTTGATCTCCCAATACAATATGACTAGACAAGAAACATTAGGTGTCATGTCGTATAAGAAATTAGTTATACGCATAAAAATATTTTGCAATTAAAATTGAAATTAAACAATGTTTGTACATGGGAAATATTTAAGAACAATGTATATGAAGTTTCTTAAGAAGAGCAGTAGAAGGCAAAATTAATAATTTTTAGAAATATTGTACATCTATGTGTGTTCCGGCACCACGCAAAAACTACTGCACCAAATTAGATACGGTCATAGTCACAGTTGTGTTTCTGAAAGCTTAACTTAAAAACTGGATTATGTTTTATTTTAATACGCAATATAAAAATGGTCTATTTCCTTGATTTTCCTAGTCAAAAAATCCACGCGTACGAAGTAATGAGCAAGAAGCTAGTTATTGAATAAAACAATTAAAACTACTTGGGCAACTTTGAATTTAATACTTGCTTCTGCTGCTGCTAGACAACATAATAATATGAATGATTATGATTAAGCATTAGCACATAAGTAAAAGAGCAGTTTACATTGCTATATATAGCCCATTACACTTCTCATATGTTGCCATTTCTTTGAATTAAAATTGTACGCGTTAAGTACTCAGACCGAACCACTACAACGAACGTATCACTATATCACAGATAGGAGAGATAGGTAACATGACGACTCAGCCAGACAAGACAAAAAGTCTAGTGTCGCAAATAAAAATAACACTAGTTGTGATTAAAATCGCAACAAAATAATATTTTTTTTTGCAATGAACAATACTGTAATGATAAATATTACTCACTTTATATCATTACCAATGTCTTCGATGTCATGAGAATTTGTTACAGCATTTTCGCAATTAGGATCATTAGAACAGCAGCCGTTCGCATTTTTGCTAGGCGATGGTGTAGCTGTTATGGTCCCATAACAACCTGCAAACAAATAATTTATGTGATTACACCACATCGTTTTCGGAGTAGCAGAGAGAACAATATGCTAAGTACGAGTATGATATTTATTATTCCGTACCACAACTCAAACACCCTCCTACTACACCATTGCTAATACTCATAATTGAAAAAGTTTTAGTATTTAAAGAACGCATTTTAAAATCATCCCATTTTCCAGTTTAATAATAATTTAATATATTATAATATTATAAAGATTGTTACATTTTTTATTAGTTTCATGAAAAATCATAGTCTAAAACTAAAATAGAGTACATAGATATATTAAATGCAAGTTGTCGATTTATAATACAATAATCCATGCATATCTAATACGAAACAAATATAGGGAAGTAGTTCTAAAAAATTTATGGAAGATGTTTTTTGAATCAAGTAGTTCATCATTATTATTAACGATTTTAAAACATATAATATAGGCTGTGATATAGATTTTTAGTAAGCTACTTATTTTAGAAATAACATTAGTAACAAGTTGGATAGATTATGGATTAATTAGTCTATAATATTTACCTTGGTCGTCTGTTGATGAGAGCATAAAAAAAAAATAAAAACAAGATTAACCATTTATATAGGATTAATAATCTTACCACAAAAGACTTAAAATTGCGATTGATAGGTATTCAATATATGTTTAGTTACCTTACTACAAAAGTGTAGATAACATCTGTTTATGTATAAACAAACGAAGAATGTCTATTAAAAAAGGAATGCAAGTAATACATTTTATTACAATAGTTTATTGACTTTGGCACATAAACTATATTAACTAAATAGTATTTATTTACCTAGAGTTCTGTTAAACACTGTTTAGATAGATAATGTTTTAAATTATTTTTGTGGTAAGATCAAAGTGTTTATTAAACTAGCTACGGGATTGATACTATTTTAATTCCTCTGATTTTAGTATATGTAAACATTAATATAATATAAACCATAAACATTTAATATTGCAGACTAACCAATACTAGAAGAGGTTCTATTGACCTTTGTTCTCAGTGATCCTATTCCTGGGACCCACTTTTACCTAATGTATCTTCTGCTGCGGTGCTGTGTTGGTTAAAATGAAAATGGTCAACTCCGTCTCTAGTTTAATAGAATCAAGTGGTATCCAGGGGGAGATTTAGTAATGGAGACTTCCAAACTATAACTCAAACGTTTCGAATTCCTAATAAACTCATCACGATGAGTCATTTGGCATGACTTTATTTTCACCTGTCATTACTCACTGGTAACCCGTCAGCATATACCGACTGCAAAGAGGGGAAAGGGATTTTAGTAATGCGGACTACCAGTCCCACTGCTAACAATATACCCTGTCAGGTCGAACATCACGTGATCCCCTTAGAAACCATCGTGCTGAATTTCAGGTGTATTCATCATGATGGGTTACTCACCTGCTTTTGTATTCTCACCTATCTACCCTCACTGGTGCCCCGCCAGCGTATACCGTTAGTACAGGCGGGGTTACCATTCCATTATGATCTATTTAAAAATAAACGGATTACGAAAGCGCGTCACTAGAGTAATAATACATTTCACTAGATAAAATTTTATATAGTTATTTTTTGATATATATTTACCATTGATAGAAACAGATTGCGTATGTGATGTCGGCTCAATATTCTCTACGAGACTAGTGGACTCGTCCGGTGGACTTGAACCTGATATTTCCGCGGAAAGGGAAGCAAAATGAGCGCTGCGTCGACGAAACCGTATGTACACCATCAAACAGCCAATGGTCACTAAAATAGTAATTAAAAACGCTTTAAATTTGTAAATTAGGTATTTCAAATACACATAACAGCAGTACAAAATATCAAATACTAGCGAACCGCCCGAATACACGAGATTTTTTAAAATTAAAATACAATTTATCCATTACAAACGAAAAATAAAAATTATCCTTTTTATAACATTAAATGGCAAACAAGCTGACAGCCCACCTGATGGAAAGTGGCAACCGTTGTCTATATGTAGACATGAACTATTACCACTTAGAAAATAGTACCATTTAGAAAACACAAAACAGTTATTTTTATATACATAAAGGACTATACATAGCACCATATGGCTTTATTTATCAGTCAACCGTAAAAAAATACAGAAAATATAATTGACGGTGCAACGTAAGCAAATGTGGAATATTCTACTTCTTATCTTACTAATATAATAATATTTGAAACTAGACGACGTCGACATGGGAGATATTTAAGAAAAATTAATATAAGGGGTCTTAATAAGACCAATAAATACCAACACAATATCTTTTTATTCAGAAATTTCTAGGTGGTAGAGCCACGCTGTAATACCATATGGTATTGCAGCATGAATGGGCCGGCTCGACCGGGGAAGTACCACACCCTCACAGAATACCGACGCTAAGTGGCCGCACTTTTAGTGCGACCACATTCCGTATGGTGAGTGAGGGAGTCCGGAGGCCCATCCTATACCCATCCCCTTCCTTATCCTAAAATCCTCCCCCAACTCCGTCCCCCCATTTTTCAATACCATGGCAGTGGAATTTAAAAAAAATAACGTACCCCAGGGAGGTACCAGCAGCCATGTTGCTGGAGAATCCTCCCTCGAGCAACCACGCTCGGGCTGCCCTGCGTATTCTGGGGGGGCAAAATTCCGCTCTATGGGACCAAGGGCAAACAGAGCAAGACTTCTGCGGCATCCCCTTTGCTCAATGTGAGCCTCTGTAATATTAGGGGAATTCATTCAAACCTGAACGCTGTCCACCACCACCTAGAAACGGCGCGGCCGGCATTGCTCTTCCTCACGGAGACACAGATATCCCCTCCTAACGAAACATCATACCTGACCTACCCGGGGTATAAGCTTGAACATTGTTTTGTTTCGCGTGCCGGTGTATGTGCGTATGTCAGAGAGGATATCTGCTGTCGACGCCTTGGGACTCTTGAAGGTACGGACCTGTCCATTCTATGGCTGCGCGTAGATTGCAATGACCATCCTCGCATCTATGCGTGCCTATACAGGTCCCACAGCGGTAATACTGAAACCGACCAACTAATTGAGCACGTCCAAATGGCTACAGATTCCCTGCTTGAGCAGATTCCTTCCGCTGAAGTCGTGATTGTTGGCGACTTTAATGCCCACCATGCCGAATGGCTTGGTTCGCGTACAACCGACTATGCGGGAAGATCTGTTCATGACTTTGCTTTGGCTTATGGTCTGACACAGCTTGTTTCCTCGCCTACGCGAATCCCTGATGTGTTGGACCATTCACCTTCACTGCTGGACCTTCTGCTGACCACCCACCCAGACAACTATGTGATCTCCGTCGAAGCCCCGCTTGGATCGTCGGATCACTGTTTGGTGCGGAGCGAAGTGCCTCTTACGAGTCCGACTCCACCTCGTTCTACGGGTAGACGTCGCATTTGGCACTACAGGTCGGCAGATTGGGATGAGATGCGGATTTTTTTCGCATCTTACCCATGGAGGCAGGTTTGCTTCACACTGGATGATCCCGACGCCATTGCCGATTCCATTGCTGATGTGGTGCTTCAGGGAATGGAATTATTTATTCCTAACTCTGTGGTGCCCGTCGGCGGGAAATCCCAGCCCTGGTATGGAGCCTCCTGTAGAACAGCATCTCGTCTGAAACAGGAGTGCTTCCTAACCTGGGCTAAAGGTGTGGCGTCGCGAGATCCTAACACCAGTGCTCTTAAAAAGAAGTATAACTCTGCCTCTAGGTCTTTCAAAAGAGTTATAGCCACAGCGAAGTCAGAGCATATTAGTAGAATTGGCAAGAGACTGGCTAGTTTGCCCTCTGGGACTCGAGCTTTCTGGTCTCTTGCCAAAGCTGCACAAGGGAATTTCTGTAAGTCATCTTTTCCACCTTTGCGCAGGGAGGATGACTCGTTGGCCCAGAACGCTAAAGAAAAGGCCGATCTTCTTGGATCCATCTTTGCGTCAAACTCGACATTGGATGACGGGGAGAAATCACCACCGACCATCACGTGTTGTAGGAGCTCTATGCCTGACATTAAATTCACGCATAGCTCAGTGCGTAGAGCACTTTTCTCCCTCGAAATCCATAAGTCGAGTGGGCCTGATGGTATTCCTCCAATTGTGCTTAGGACGTGCGCACCAGAGTTGGCTCCGGTTCTTACGCGTCTTTTTCGGCTTAGCTACTCATCGGGCATAGTCCCAAAGTTTTGGAAGACTGCTCTGGTGCATCCGATCCCTAAAAAGGGAGATCGCTCAGATCCAGCTAACTATAGGCCCATAGCTATCACTTCCTTATTCTCGAAGGTTATGGAATCCATCATTAACCGTCAACTGCTCCGGTACCTAGAAGAGCACCGGCTGATCTGTGATCGCCAGTATGGCTTTCGACAGGGACGTTCGGCCGGTGATCTTTTAGCTTACTTAACACACCGATGGGCAGTGGCAATCGAGAGTAAGGGAGAGGCCTTAGCAGTTAGTCTGGATATTGCGAAGGCCTTTGATCGGGTGTGGCATAGAGCGCTGCTTTCAAAGCTACCTTCATTTGGGTTGCCTGCGAGACTGTGCATTTGGGTCGCCAGTTTTCTCAAGGAACGTAGCATTAAGGTCGTAGTCGACGGTGCATGCTCTGATTTAAAACCTTTGAATGCTGGTGTCCCGCAAGGCTGTGTACTATCTCCGACTCTGTTTCTTCTGCATATCAATGATATGTTACAGATAAGTAATATTCATTGCTATGCGGACGACAGTACAGGAGATACATTATATACCGGTCATGCAAAGATCTCGCGGGCACATACCGATGAGTGCCGGAATAGACTTGTGTCTGAAATCGAAACTTCACTCCATCAAGTTTCGATCTGGGGTGAACAAAATCTTGTCCAATTTAACCCCAAAAAGACACAAGTCTGCGCGTTTACCGCAAAAAAGACGCCGTTTGTCGTATCTCCTCACTTTCAGGGCACTTCCCTTGATAAAAAGTCAAGTCTAGGAATTCTGGGCGTTGATATATCTTGCGACGTCCAGTTTTGCGGTCATTTGGAGGAGAAGGCTAAGATAGCTTCCAAAAAATTAGGAGTGCTCAATAGGGTGAGACGATATTTCATGCCAGAACACCGCCTGAAATTATATAAAGCCCAAGTCAGGCCGCATATGGAATACTGTTCTCACCTGTGGGCAGGAGCGCCACAGTACCAACTCCTTCCGTTAGACCGCATTCAAAGTCGGGCGGCTCGAATTATCGATAGTCAACGCCTTACTGTCCGACTTGACCCATTGAAACTGCGCAGAGATGTTGCGTCTCTGTGCATCTTCTACCGAATTTATCATGGGGAGTGTTCTGAGGAATTGTTCGGATTGATACCTGCTGCTGATTTTCACCACCGTACAACCCGCCACAAACTAAAGTTTCATCCCAATCATCTGGACGAGTGGCGGTCTTCCACCGTGCGTTTTTCAAGGCACTTTCTTCCACGCACAACCATTCTTTGGAATCAACTTCCAGCAGCAGTATTTCCGAACCGATACGACAACATAACCTTCAAGAAAAGAGTATATTCCTTTTTAAAAGGCCGGCAGCACACCTGCAATGCCGCTGGTGTTGTGGGTGATCATGGGCGGCGGTAGTCACTTACCATCAGGTGAGCCGCATGCTCGTTTGCCCCCTGTGTTGTAAAAAAAAAAAAAAAAAAATTTTGTCTGTCTGTCGATCTGTATGTATGGTTGTTCCAGCGTTACACAAAAACTACTGTACTAAATTGGATGCGGTTTTCGCAGTTGTGTGCCAGAAGATCTAACTTAAAATCTGGCGTATGTTATATCTTGTTATTTCATCTAAGTAATCTAATTATTTGGTTTTTCTACTTATTATACTGATTATGCGGTTTGTAACAATTAAATAAATAATTATCTATCTTAATACCTGTGAGACAGAAAACAAGTAGACATAATCGTATTGCATCGGTAGCCTTGGAGTCAAAGCTGCCCTTGGTGAGGAGCAGCGCGGCGAGCATAACTCCAGGCGCGCCCCATGCCACGAAGCCCAACACTGGCCACAGCGTCACCACGAAGCATGGCCCTCGGCTCTGACGTAAGACAATATTTTATTAGCTTTTACCGGCGATTTTATCCGTGTAATCAGAATAAAAAATAATCTATATTCTTCTCTAGTGACGATAATATATGTATACCAAATTTTATGACCACTAGTTAAAACACCAAAAGGTAAATTGACTCAGATTTGTGTGATATCCGTGAGGATTTATAACTAAATTGGCTAAACTAAGAATTGAACCTTTACGGTATGGCTTTATTTATAAAAAACAAATCTATCTGCGGCAAGGTCGATGTCAGCAAAGCGTGACGAAACGTGACTTATCAAGAAAAATAGAGGCATGTTGCGGTTGGGTAGTTGTCATAGCTCATGATCACACATTGGTTATCTAGAATTATAAACACTACTTAGCCTACCTGACTTTTATGATCTCACAAGTGGACCGGCAGTGTTTTACCTCCTATAGAGTCTATTTTCATACTGAGATTCCAACTGTCCTATCTTTCAAGTAGAAGCAGTAAAAATTTAATTAAAGCCGATTGAGCGATCAGAACATCGTCACTTGGGATTTTTACATTTCAAGATTCTTGTCAACATGTTATAATGAATATGATAGTAAATATGAGTTTGCTTATTTGTTATGTCTTGGCGTCTTAATAGTTTAATCATCGTCACGAGATTTGGCTTACGAGTAGTATTTGCGATGAGAATAAAATAGAATATCTAATTGTAGTCACTCATCATATTACATTACTTATTTTTCTAGAACTTATTTTTCTCACAGTTTTATAGGACTGCAATAATTATTTTACGAACATTAATCAAAAAATTTTTCAAGTAAAAAATATCTAACCTCTAACATTAGTAGTCCTATGGAAAGCATTGAAGTCCATAACAAACATGAGTACATGCTGAAGATACGTAGAGATTCTTGCATCGTAGAATACCATGTTGGCTTATAGTTGGGAAGTGGTCCACCCCATATGACACTGATTGCTAATAATATCTGAAAAAATAATTATTAGTATAATAATAATGTTATAATTTCACCAACGGGAGGGAGGCAACTGTGTGTGCATGTCTGCATGCAAAGCTGGGATAAAGACTAGCAACGCAAGAGGAGTACCATGAGTACAGGGTATTCTGTAATGTCCAAGATACTGTGTATGTCTATAGATGACAATTACCAGGTTGTCTGTCACTTTATTATTCTAAGTTATATTAAAAAAGTATGTTTGTAAGTAGTATTAATGAAGTGTAATATGCGAAAATGCTTATAATTAAGTTTATTTGAATAAAAATATTTTCTTTAACATAACGTGAAACATACCAAAGTCAGACTTTGTACAAAAGTTGCTTGCTTGGACACCTCTGTCCCATTCGTGTTTCTACCTTGAAGCAGTAATGTTTGCATGACTGTGTTTCGGTTTGAAAGGTGAGATATGGCAGTGAATTTAAAGAGTACAGAGAAATAATACCTGAGTCCTCAGAAATGGCAACGCTTGGGGGGTATCATGGGTGAAACAGTATACTCTGTTATGTCCATGGTACTGCTCATGTCTAAAGGCCACGGTTACCACTATCCATCAGGTGAGACGTCAACTTGTTTGCCATTCTAAGTTGTATAACAAAAAATATATTCTCAAGTTTGTAAGTTACCTGAGATGTGATTAAACATAAAGTCAATCGATGAGGCATCCGTTTGTATTTCTTTGTGACTGAAAAAACAAACATAACCCAAACAGCAGCAATTAATGCCACTATGGATAAATCGAATCCAAATTTCTTTAGTTGAACTGCATAGTCCTTATTTATTGAAATCACTTGGGCGGACATAAACATCATTGGGGCTGATAAGAAAGTACATATCACCATAGAGGAAGCCATCTGCAATAATAATAAAAAATCATGTTTATATTACAAGTATTTTATTAGCACAAATTTTAAAAAGTTATACTATGTAACTTAAATTGAACAATAGTCTTGTTCAGCTCATAATTCATGCTACAACTCTTGTTACCGCTTATCGCAATACATGAGTTTTTATGTATGTATGATGTATAAATATCCATGGGCGATCGAAAGACTCCATCTATACAATCTATTGAAGTCTACTACCTTCTGCACGATATGTATGAAGCTGTCAACTCGGTTAGCTGTGCACCTATTTCGCTAAAGTGAAAGTTGTAATTGAATAGAAATATTAATAAAAACGAAGAGGTTTTTAAGATTTGTGTGTTGGTCAGAGCACAAGTAAGGTGAAAAAACAAAAGATAAGTACAGAATATGACTATTTCAAATAATATATACATAAAATATAAAAAAAACTGCCAGATAATCTCATTGAAAATCTAGCAGAAAATTGAATAAGTCTCATGCAAACAAGCAATTTATATTATCATGAAGACAATTTTATTTTGTTTAGAAATTAATAAAAAATGTTCTACAAATATTCAATTGCTAGACATTTAATAATGAGAAAACACTTTATAAGTTACATAAACTTAAAAACTAATAAAATCATAATTCTCATTTATTAATAAGAAAGTACTAACCAAGTCCATTTCCAGTTGATATAGATTGGAGAAGACAAATACTGCAGGTGCTGTAGGTATAGTACCATATAAGAAAGCATATGTGGACAATGACAATGTTTCCGAATCATTTGCTCCCGCACTGAATATACTAACACTTTCTCTCATCATTACAGGAAGTATTATTCTGAAATCCATAAATATCAATTATAATAAACAATACAGGTCAAAATCATTAGGTTTCTTTTAAAGGTGTGGATGTGAAATGTTAGTATTTTAACTTATGTGTAATATTTTGACCAGTAATGTTAGTAACAGACATGTAAGTTAGAGTTACAGCTGGAACATTCTCTTAAAGTATGCTAATGGTTTTTATTTCACCATGTTCAGTGTTATTACACTGAAAAAAAAAACAATACTTACAGCTTAACTGCAATCAAGACACAAGGCAACACTAGTGCTGGTCCTCTTAACCGATGAATTTGTCCTACCATATGTAGACCCAATAAGAAGAGAGCAGAAGCTGAGAAAGCCTGTCCAAATACCTAAAATGCAAGAATGCACAAAGGAGGCTTAATTTTGAAGATATTTCTAACAATAAAATTTCAGTATACTATTACAGAAAATATTTATATTAGGGGCTAGTAAAAATTAATGTTAAGGTTAAGTTACTTTTTACTTAGTAAAAAAATTGTAAAATTATAATTTGCATTTTAGGATAGTGTATAGTCTGAAGGAAATTATTACTATTTTTAACATTAGTAATGATCATACTAACCTCCAGTAAGCCTTCAATATAAATAGACAATTTATGTTTGAATATAATGTTTCCAATTATTCCCAAAACTGTCATTACTAATACAGGGTTATATGCAATCCCCCTGATAATTTGTTTAAGTAATTTCAATTTACATACATCACTCTTACTTTCAGTATCATTAGCAAGAGCCTGCACTCTCTCTCTCTGTTTGTTGATCTCCATCAAAACAAAAGCAACTGGGTTAAGAATTGCAAGTGATATTGGTGCCATCAGGTACAGATATAATGCATATTCTGGATGGGAATTTGCATAAATTGCATTGACTGAAAATAAAATTATATTATTTACACTGTATAGTTATTATATTTACAATCTATTTTTGTATAATTTATGGACTCATATTATTATTGGTAAGGTTAAAAAAAATGTATACAAGAGTGCCAACAATTGTATTCACTTCTGTACAGATGAAAAATAGTAGCTATGTTTTTTTTTTATTTTTATTGTTTTAATCCCTCCATTTTTTTAAATTATTTGACCACTAAATAAAATGTTTATGAAAGTAATGGTTATGTTATAAAAAATGTACTAAACATAAAAAACATAAACAATGTAAAATTACAATCATATAAAGGATCTCCTGGTCATCTCCCATATAGGTCCCATACTAATTTTGTTTTTAATGAAGTTTATATAACAAAAACTTTGTTATGAATGATCTGATTTTTTTATAATCACTGACAATTTACTTTTAGTACATTGATACTTTTAATTTTATAGCTAGTAATATAATTTCAATATGATGACATGATAATGTTAGTACTGTAAGATTTATAATATTAGTATAATAGAAGACTTTTGTTACACTTACTTATTGGGTATCCCAAAGCAAAATCATTGCTTTGTGTACAAAAGATGGCAAATATTCCAGCTCGTCCCAGATGTAGTGGCTTCGATACTAGTAATGTAACAATTATAACAGCAAAGAATATTATTGCTTTTGCTATTAATATTGCTAGTAAGAAAGTCCAATTTACAGTAGTGAAATCCAAGCGTGCCAAGGATAAAAATATGAGTGATGGTAATGCAAATGTGCCAACGAATGTGGCAATACCCTTAGATTCAGTAGATGAAACCACATCAAAACGACCTGCTATATACCTAAAAAAACAAATATGCCTAAATTATCAATACTGTATTGAATATGTATATAGACAACTATTACTATTTTCAAACAGAGGGCCAGTCAACTTATTTGCCATTTCAGGTTGTATAAAAAAGTGTTATTATTGTCCATATTATTTATAATTTAGAAATTATCGCATGTAAAATCAATGAAATTTTAGTAGTGTTAAGCGGAATTGCTTATAAATTAAGTGCTGTCACTGGATTTTTTTTATAAAAATAATATTTAAAATAGTATACGGTTTATACAAATCTGTTATATTTAAGCACTTACCCACACAATATAATAGTAAAGCACTGAAAGAGAGCCGGATATAAATTATCTGCCGTGGCATTACCGAGCTGATTTACTTGGTCCATAATTAAAGATAGTCTGAATTTGTAATAAAATGTTTGTTTTGCTACAAATTACATTTTTACACTAGCGAAAATTAACTTTTTATAATGATTGGAAGCTATTTACTATAAATATAGAGTACAACATTAGTCATAAAGGATAGTAATACTTTATTATTAATTATAGTAATTTTTATTTTTTTTTATATTTTAATCATTAAATAAATACATTAATAAATAGGAAAAATGTTTGATTATGTTTTCAAAGAATATTGATTACATTGACAAAAAGAATGACAGTTAGAATACGTATAAAGAAAATAAAAATAAAAGCTTTCACAACATTATCACTGTGGATTGACAGAATCCAGAATAACATCAATCAACTAATGACACAGGAACTTGACATTCGATTTTAGATTAAGAAATGTTTTTAGGACACAACCATTTCTTTTTTTTAAAGGTGATGGATGTGGAGTTTTGTAGGAGACCAATAATGTTTTTTTTTTATATTTTATTACGTACAATGTTACAGAGAATATTTTAGTGTCAAGACAAAAGTATTATTTTTCTAATTAATTGATCTGTAGGCCATGTACTACCTCTTTCTTACAAATAGCAACCCTTTATTATCGTTTTCGTAAACGATCAAACCTAAGAATAAGGAATTACAGAAGAAAGATAAAATAAAAGTTATAAATCATGTGGCTGCTTCCTTTCTTCTTATGCAACTAAAAGGAGAACGAAAGATACATCATCAGTTGCTATTTTTCTCAATTCATAGGAGACTAGCGTATAGAAAATGTTTGATATATCAATTATTTGTCAACGACAAATTTTACTTTACTAGATTATATATTCGACACAGTTTATGTGGTAAGTATGCAAGCACGTTGTATCTGAATTTGGTAGGATTATACGGCCGTATAACAATTTTTATACAATAGTCTACTATGAATTGAGAAAAATAGCAACTGATGGTGTATCTTTCGTCATCTTTTTACTAATTATATTTGTATAAGAAGAAAAGAGGTATATAATATATATAATATTAGTACATTTTTCATCATTCTATGTAATCCCTTGTTTTTAGGCTTACCTATACATTAATTTTAATAATAAATAGTTCCTTTTAATATATGTTTTAAGGCTCTGGATATTAGCCTTTGGAGCATCTATTAACTAGTATATTAACAGTATTGCTACTTCATCTGAACTATTATGCAAATGACGTAGCCAAAATCAATACTGATATATTTTATATAGCAACATCAGAGTTAAGGCATATCCGTTTCCGCCCTTTCGGCGGCCATTATCGAGTTGTTCGTTCACCGGTTCTGTGAAGGGGTCTCAAGTGAATGAAAAATCTAAATAATTTTCAAATTCTCTCTTTTTAGAGAGGTGTGTATACTTTTTAACGAATTTCAAATTTAAACAAAGCAATGTCGATTATCTTTGTACTTAGTATTTCTTTTGTTCTAGATACTTATTCAAGCGTTACAACCACGTAAGTTCCTATAGGAACTAGAAAGGAAAAGATGCAGTACAACGGCTTCCATAATCAACATCCCATGTTAGTATCAATTTGATCATAGTTATATTTACTTAACAATTATACATATTACGTTTAGTATATATCTAATTAATAGTTCCAGTTGCTATCCATTTAGAAATGTTCGCGGCCTTCACCGCCGCCATTTTGTGAAATCTATTTCACTCAGCTGATGAGATTGTCTTTACCACTAGCTTTTTTACTTTCTTCAACCAACTTGGACGTATTTACTTGTCTTGGATTGAATTATAATCATAACTAACCATTTGATAATTATTTAGGAAAGGTCATATGAATGCAAATAATAATTTAATTAGTTCCACTTATCGCAATGTAGGTAACGATCGATCAGCTGCGCAGAGTCGCATGTACCTACCTTCCTTGATGGCTAAGTCCATTTATTTGTCCTCTTTCTCGTTATCTATTTAATCAAAGTAAATGTAGGTTTTTAAGAAATTCAAAATCAGACTTTATGGTAATTGGACCTATCTACCTACTATTATAATAATTTTGATTTTGTCTGAGTCCAAAGGATAGAATATTTATCTTATTTGTCATATCTTAAAAAATATATTCTAAAAATTTAAATACATGCTTGAGTTATTATTTATAATTTTTTTTTATTTTACCTTACAGTTACTGACTGAAATACAGTGGATTTCGGATATAACTACGATAGAGGCACTCCTGTAATTTCGTCGTTATATCCGGAAGTCGTTGCAGGCAAAGGCGTCTAGGAACCATACTTATTTAAAAGTTTACTAAACGCAGTTGCTACTCAGAATATACACTGTAACTGAACTGTAAATTTGTTTCTGAAATATACATTTACCTATCAAATCATTGTCATCATCACCTATCCAATCATATACATTTACTGTCCACTGCTGAACATAGGCCTCTCGCAAAAAGGGTAGATTCTGCCAATAGTTGTCATGCTTGGCAGGTGGATTGGCAACCGCAGTTAGGCTTTGGTGATGTTTTAAAAAAGACTGCTACCCTTTCGTAAGTTCCTCTAGTCACCTCTACTGACACCCACAGGACAGGAAGGGGTGATCCATTCCATGTTAGGACAATGCTGCAATATTTTTAGCACCCAACTAATACAAACTATAAACAAAAGCTAAAGATCACAACAATTGTTAACCATCTGTCTATATGTAAACAAAAGATAAGAAAGCTCTTTATGTCTCTGATTACTATATATTACTAATTCTACTATTTATTTTAATAAATACTGTACTCATCTTAATAATACTAACTGTATTAACCATTATATACAGTTAATCTATTTTTGAATAAAATTTAGCAGGTTAAAGAATCTTACTTTCTAACCTATTGTAAAGGAATGAATATGATTAAATAGATTTCTTTTCAATAATCAGCAATATATTTGTAAGGTTGTTTGGAAATTCATGTTTAGACTTCAAAATATAAAAGCTATTGTTTAAAAGGAAAAGAAAAAAAGGAATCAGGGGTTTAATAGTCCCATCTTCTAGCAATATACCTTATTAGGTAGACCTGCGTTTCCTCCTCCACGCGATTCCCCTGTATAACATTGTGGAGAATGGACTATTTTACCTGCATCCCAACTTATCGGTCTTGTTTCTTGTCAGTCTATACAGGTGGGGTTACCATTTCATCTTTTTTCATTAAAAAAAATAATTCTGTGTTTATTTTTTAAATGATGTCTTAAGCCGTTCTTAGTTTTTTGTAATAACATGGAACCTTTAGGAAATTTGCAAAAGAATTAAAGATTGTGTCCCGCAAAAACTCCACATATGACAAAAACCAGTTATTTTGCTCTAACAACTACTCCACTGATTTTGATAATATTTCTATGGGACTAATCTGTAAGTATATCCCTTCAGATAAAAAAAATTCGAAATCAGTTTAGAACTGACAGAGTTATGAAATAACAAATGTATTAAAAAAAGGTATACAAATGAAGAGTATCATTTGTATTATTGAAGTTGGTTGTGTTTACTTTTTTTTTTTTGTAGTAATCAGGATATTTGTGAACGAATGTGCAAACTGCACATTCGTACTGCACTAGTATTTAATTGAATGGAAGGCCTAATATTGGATTTATTAACACTTTTTTGCACTATTTATAAAAATAATAAATACAGTACATTTTTAATGAGAAGTGATGCCAAAGGTTGTCTTATCGTTAAATGAAAAATTAAATCAGATTTACAGCTGTTTTGTTTGTTTTAATTTATACCATTTTTTTTTAATGGGTGATAATGAAATTGTATCCCCGCCTGCGCTATCGGTATACGCTGACGTGGTACTAGTTAGAGGTGATAGGTGGAAATGAAAGCAGTACAGTTGTCCCATCGTGATAAATTCCACTAGAATTAATCACGATGGTTTCCAGGGGAAACCACGTGGAGGTCGAACTGATAGGGAGGGCAATGGGTCAGTTAGAACCTGTTACTACAATCCCTTTCTCCCCACAACTTATACCATTGAAACTGAAATTAATGTTCAATATTTTTTTTTTTGTAGAGATTAAAAGTCATTAATTGAGTTTTACGAAACTTATGGAAAAGGATTCTTCTTCAGTCTTGTTGCCTTTTCCAAATAGCAATAAGGTTATTTATTCAATTAATTTATAAAACGAGGTTGCGGTTCCCATTACTACCCTACTAGAAAATCGCCATGCGGATCTTTTTGAAACCCAATAGTGATTATTTTTAGTAGAATTTGTCACAATGGACTAACTGACCTGCATTAATTCATCCTGTGGTATTATCCCTCACTGGTGCTAGGATATACCAATAGTACAAGTAGGGTTACCTTTCCATAAAAAAAAAAACTTATTGTATATAATTCTTACTCAAAGTTTTATAAATAAAACACATTCATTTATTTATTGGACTTTGAATAAGAATTTTATCATGACTTATGTTACTCATATATTGAAAAGGTACAAAATGAATATATTATCATCATTAGGACTAAATATATAGTATTGTTAAAAAATTATTCCACATTTTCAGACAAAATAATGAAAATTTTATATTAGTGTACTATGTGTATGTAAATACACAATAAACCTTTTCATTTACTGACTTCATAGTAGTTGAGAGTATATTTTTTTTTTTATAGATTCAGACCTCGAACAGACCGGAATGAACAATTTGGTAAGGTATTTCTTAATGGGCTTCATGATTTTGGGGGACCAAAAAATTTCGGTCCTAGAAATAATATTGGAAATAAAAACAATTTTCGGCCCAGAATGGATTTTAATGGAGTAAGAAATGATTTCAATAACCAGCGGAATGATAATGGCAACCCAAATGATTTTGGGGGGCCAAAAGAATTCAGGCCTAGAAACAACTTTAATAATCATTCACAAAAAAAGAATGATAATGATGGTGATAAACAACAAAGAGGAGGAGGTGCCATCCAATATTTTAATGCGAAGAATGATTTTGGGGGACCAAAACAACAAAATTTTCATAATAACAAAAATAACTTTGGAGGAAAAACTTTTAATAATCAGAATGGACAGCAAGGAAACAATGCCCAGCAAAACTTTGCTCCGAAAAAACAGTTCAATAATAATGAAAGACAACAGTCAGCCGATTTCAAGGGACGTAAGTTACAGAGTCAGAAAGCCAAGCACCCTGGAGATAGTTTGGTAAAACCAATATGGGATTTGTCAAATCTTGAACCAATCCAAAAAGATTTCTATAAACCACATCCTAATGTTGAAGCTCGTTCCGATGAAGAAGTACAGTTATTCCGTGCTACTAAAGAAATTACTGTCAGCGGTAATAATATTCCTCGCCCCAATCAAATGTTTGATGAAGGTAATTTCCCTGATCACATTATGAATACTATCAAAGAACAGGGTTGGTCAGAGCCTACAGGTATTCAGGCCCAAGGATGGCCAATAGCGTTGTCTGGTCGAGATATGGTTGGGATTGCTTCTACAGGATCTGGCAAAACACTTGCATACATGCTTCCAGCTGCTGTTCATATTATGCACCAACAACGTATCCAAAGAGGTGATGGCCCAGTTGCTCTCATCCTTGCCCCAACTAGAGAACTGGCTCAGCAGATACAATCGGTGGCACAGGCATACAGTGCTCGTGGATGTATCCGGAATACATGTTTGTTTGGAGGCTCCCCTAAAGCTCCTCAGGCCAGGGACTTGGAGCGTGGTGTAGAAATAGTAATTGCGACACCAGGACGTTTAATTGATTTCTTGGAACGTGGTACCACAAACTTACGCCGCTGTACATATTTAGTGTTAGATGAAGCTGACAGAATGCTGGATATGGGATTTGAACCACAGATTCGTAAGATTATTGAACAGATACGTCCAGATCGACAGGTTTTGATGTGGTCTGCCACTTGGCCAAAAGAGATTCAGGCATTAGCTGAAGATTTTCTCAATGATTATGTTAAGGTTAACATTGGTTCATTAAACTTGTCTGCTAACAACAATATTAAACAAATAGTTGAAGTTTGTGAAGAACATGAAAAAGAAATGAAGCTTACTAATTTACTGAAGGAGATATCTTCAGAACGTGACAATAAAGTAATTGTTTTTGTGGAAACAAAAAAGAAGGTTAATATTAAAATATTTTTCATTAAAATTTTCTCAGTATGTTTGAATATATTTACATAAAAAAATATACAAAAACATTAATAATGTAAGAGGATAAATTAATAACTACTTGATATGGCTTTATAGGTGGACGATATCGCTAGAGCTGTACGTCGTAATGGTCATAAGGCTTTGGCTATTCATGGAGATAAGTCGCAACCCGAGCGGGATGCGGTATTAACCGAGTTTAGAAATGGAGCCACCACTATTTTAATTGCTACAGATGTGGCTGCACGTGGCCTCGACGTTGAGGATGTAAAATTTGTTGTCAATTTTGATTACCCCAATTCTTCAGAAGATTATATCCATAGGATTGGTGAGTATAAATCCTTTCCAAAATATATAAATTATTTGATTTTATAAGAATCAAATTAACTTCATACCTTTCTATTTACCTTGTTAGGTCGTACTGGCCGATGCCAACAGTCGGGTACAGCATACACATTCTTCACCAGTGGAGATTCTCGTCAGTCACGTGCACTTGTTGCTGTGTTACGTGAAACGGGTCAAAATCCACCAAGTAGACTGAATGAGATGGCAAGAAATAACAACAACAATACTGGTATGTCTTGTTTTTAATTTTGATTGAAAACTTTCTATAGTTACTTTATATATACATATAAATATAATATGTTAATTCTTCTGAAGCAGTAAATTTTCGTTAATGTATTAATGTTTGTTATATATATGTATATATAACCAACACACTTTAAAAACCATAGAATACTAATACATTATGTAATATACATAAATGTCAAAGGTTATAAAGAGGTATGGTCCACTCTATAAAAAAATTTGATGAATTAATTTTTTTTGTTTATTCCAACTTACATAGGCAATGGGTCACCGGACACAGCTAGCATAACAATAAGGTTTATTCTAATTAATGTTCGTACTAACAGGTCGTAACCGCTGGCAACAACGTAAGGAGAATAATAGTGGCTCAAGCTCACCACGTCAGCAAAACAACAACAACCAGTGGAATAACAAAATGGCTGCAACAGTCAATGAGGACAATAATCAGAACATTTATCAAAACCGCAACGTAAACCAGCAACCACCGCGATTTTCAAATCAGAATCAAATAAATCATCAGGGTTTCAGACAAAATAATTATCAGAAACCTGTACCTTTCCCCAGTCCCAATGTATTTGAGTCAATGGGCAATTATCAAGGTGGTTACAACAATGGATTTCAAAATGGATACAATAACCAGAATGGTTATAACCAGCGTCCCTACAATAGTAAGAGCTTCAGTATTTTTTATATTATAACAATAATAGCTGGCTTACTTGGATTTATTAACATTGTCTGCTATTAAATAAGTATCTCAATCAAATGTAATTGTACACAAAGTTTAACTTACATAACAATATTTAATTTAGATTTTTCTTTAATATGTCTGCTTCATATTTTTCACATATTGTTTAATTGTCCTTTGAATATGGAAGGAATATATAAGGTCTTAAGAGACCTTGCTTTTCCTTAATTTTTTTTTAAATTAATTTCACCAATTATCACACCGAAATTAATGTGAGATCAACTTATCAATTGGGAAAAAATATTAAAGTCTATATTAGACAATGATGACCAGTAAGGTAGTCATAAAATATATGAGAATTAAAAACCTATTTTTTTTTTAATAACTTTGAATTGTTTGTTTAGTTTTCCATAACTTATTTGTTTAGATTCCCGTAATGGTGCCCAACAGTACCGTAATAATAACTCCAGTAACAAGTCTGGTGGTTCGGGCTCATCTTATGGCTCTCCTCCTCCACACTTTGCTACTCCTCAACATTACACACCGATGCATACTCATCAGGAAATGCTTGGTCAGTACAATTTTCGTAATATCTTTTTTATTCATTGATGTAGATTATATATAATTAGATTCCGAATGTGATCTCATATTATTGAAATGAACTAAAATGAAAGAGAAATTTCGTGATATCCTGTTTATTTTTATAGACTATGATTACCACTTAAATGGTACTAATGAAGTGGGCTGTCAGCTTATTTCCAATGCTACCATTCCAAAAAAAAAGCTTACATAATACAATTATTTTACTTTGAATTATTGAACGTCAGGCGGCAAATTCTACGGCGGCGGTGTTGGCGGTGGCGGACCTTGTGGCTACCAGGCGGGAATGGGCGCTAGTGTGCCGTACGCACACATGGCGCCTGGCCCACTGCTATACGCGGCGCCCGTGCAGCAGTAATTTCAACTGTGGTGATACCTTCCGTACGATTCAAAATTGGCCTCGTTCAATGTCGTAACGGCTATAACATGGTTTTTAATCATACATTTTTTTCTCTGTATCTCAAAACGAAGTTATGTTTTAATTTCCATTTTTCGAAAATGCCCTATTTTCGATGTTGTTATGAATAAAAATATTAGTGGTTATTGTTCATCAACGAGATATGTATTGAGGCATCTTTTTAACCCCTTTTTTTTAGAATATTTCATTGTAGATCTGAATGAAGACTTCAAAATAAATTTATCATTAGTGATGTAATCATACTAACGAAATATAATTTTATTTCGCAAAATTTGACTTTGCGTCATCAATGAATCCTGGTGGGAATTGTTTAATGCGAAAAAAAAATATGAAAGCTCTTCAGATCCATTTGAATTAACAAGTGTAATAAGTGTGTTAGTTTTATAAGGCGATGTATTCTTTGTTGGATCAATTTCGCTTCTATATACTCCATACATTATAAAGTTTATAAAAATATAATGTATTAGTATTACAGTACAGTAAAACCAAGTATTACTGTTAGAAATATATTGATACAGACGGAATGACCAATATAGAATACATTATTACAATAATATACTGGTGGAACAGATAACTTCAACAGTTCTGCCCTTTAGCTTTTAATCATTATATTTGTTAGAATAGTTGGTGTGGGTACCCTCTTGTGTAATCCAGGGTGCCTTTCGTTTTTTTTTAAATGTCTGTATGATGTACGAAATGCACGAAACATGTAGAAGATGAGTGAAATTATATGGGGAGGGTTTTTTAAAAACAAATGTTATTTGACATATTTTATATAAATTATTTTTATTGTTAATGATTGATCTTATCCAGTGAAAGAGTGGGACAATTTAGAGTTAGAAAAAAATTATTAATACTTAAACATGTTGAATTAAAAATGCTTCTTGGTATATATGCATCATAATAACAATCTGTATTGCCAGATAAAATTGTGAATATTTTTCTTATGTAAAGTGATGTCAATGACATTTCAAGTCACTGATTTCGAGGTTATTTTTTTATTAAAAATTAGATCTTGATATACTTGAATATTTATGTCTAGGAATATTAGTCTGCGTCAATTGGACTTGGACAACAGTTGTACTTTAACATATTCAAACTTATTTACCATACTCAAAAATGTAGAAGATTGTAAATAACATGCATTTATCTTAGGTCGATTAGTATTTTGAATGCGATGAATATAATCGAACAGTGTTTACTTTGTTGCTTAGCAAAATAAGGTAATACTTCATATTGTGTTTTTCGATTATTTTTTTATATGATGTGGTTTCAGATACTTGAACGATTTTCTTTGTACGTAAACGGGTTCTAAAGGCTAAGGCTAGGAATGAATAGGTACAAATTATATCTACTTAAACACAATGTGTTATCTAGAATCCCGTTACTGTCCAAAGATTTGGAAAAATCTGTGATATTTCATTACTGTAACCTGTCGTTGCGTTGGTCAATTGTTGATACATAAGAACACTTCCTGCGGAATGTGTTTACTAGACAAAAATATATTTTTTGACTATTTGAAGGAATTTCTTGGATGTTTGTGACTACAAAAGTTCGCAAGTCATTCACAGATATAATATAATGATATGATAGATGTAAGATTTAATAATTTATTGTTATTCAATTTAGTTTTCAGTTAACTGATAGGTGACGAAATTGAACCAGTTCAAAGGGACGTAAACGTTATTATCTATATAAGTAACCCGTTCAAGTGGTACATCTCGAAGATATTACGATGTATAGTTAAAACGGGGATCGAACCGATATAAGGGGTGAAACAACGTGTCTGTGAATCTCGTGTTTATATCTTATTAGAATGCGGGATTTGCTTTATTTGTGTACATTATAAAAGAAAGACTGCCGTTAAAGGAGATGTGTATATGTGCATAAGTTCATCTTAAAGATGATTTCCTATGTACTAGCCTGTGTGCGGACCTTCGCTGTTTGTTGTGCAGATGGTTAGCGGTCTAAATAGTGTGGTGTGGGCGGTATACGGCGTGCCAGGCTAGGTAGTTGTGTGCGTATTAGATTGGCCAGTGTGTATGGTGTCCTGTCTGGTCGCGGATAGCAGGTAGCTCCTGTATTATTATGTACAAAGTACTGCACCCACCTCTACTAAACAACTGTGATAATAACACTAAGTAGCTTAGCAGGCGATTTATTATACTAGTTACGTCCAAGAGAAGGGATGACATCATATCTGACATATTGTATTGTGATAATATATCAAGGCGTGACCTCCTCGGTCGGTACGTTTTGACTTAAAGTTTTCTCTAAACAAGACTGATTATTTCTTATTGATAAATATTTTATACATGTTCCACTTTTGACTGAATGAATTAAGATGTCTGTATTTATATTGGTAGTATTCTTGTCTCATCGCTGTGTGTTTTCGCAAAAATTAATTATTCACTATGTTGGATATGTGTCAAAACGCCTTTCTATGTGGTCACCAAATTGATGAAGGTCATTTATATTTAATTTATAATTTCTACTTTCCTTTGTGATGGAAAATGTTGTTGACAATTATGTGGCAGCGGCAGTTGAACATTATCTTATAAAGAGTTATAATATATAATTTGTTGTTTATTTGCAAAATTTTATTTATTCAAGCAGTAGGTAACTCATAGGCAATCGTACTTTCGTGCTTTACTATTTAAGAGTTTATTATTTTCAAAAATGAAAAATGGTCGTGAAAAATATACATAGAATTTTAAGTATGTGGCAATGCAGATCTTCATTGATTCTTACTATGAATGACATAGTTTGTATTTATTCAATTTATAACTTAAAATGGAGAGAGAGGCTCCTTATAAAACTGTCCCAAAGGGAAGTCTTCTGAATGTTTCTAAGAAGTGCATTTCTTCTATGTAATACAGTATTAAATTCAGATTAATAAATGGATGTATAATTATTATTTGATCCCTTTTTTTCCTCCTCAACGATTTCTTTATAATTGGAAGTGCGTAATGCATAGGCCCCATTCTCAAGGTTTTTTTTTATTGGGTTAAAATGAATGGTAACTCCATATGTACTACGGTATACGCTGGCGGGGCATCGGTAAATAATGGTGATGATAAAAGCAGTTTAATTAGTTTGCATAAAGAATTCCACGAGACTTGGCAAATATGGTTTTCAGATGGAACCTCTTATAGGTCGATCTAGGAAGGGGATTGCTAGTAATGGGGTCTAATGTTTCCATTACTAGCAATATACTCAGGTCTACCTCCTCGCGGTTCCCCCTGGAAACTATCATGGTTAATTCTAGTAGAATTGGTTTTGATAAGCTGACTGACCTGCTTTCATTGTCACCTATTATTCCTCACTAGTGTCCCGCCAGCGAGTAACGAACCTCAAAAACGGGTCAACTTTTTGACAATTATCAGACTCTTTTTTTTTTTCTATTAATGTTCTATATACTTATGCACACAGTGTATCTTGGCGTATCTATATTTAATTAATAAATAAAATAGTTATTATGCATTAAAGAGGTGCAGAATTTATAAAACAAAATAAATATAGAAGTTATAAAGAAATCAGTCATAACTATCACGCAAAATTTGAAAAGTTGACCCGCTTTTCTCGAAGTATGGATGGACCTTGTATGGAGATACTCTATAAGATTATATTATATATTTTGTTTAATAGGGTACGTTTCCAATTCTCTCATTTTATATTGTACTTTAAACAATCTTAAACCTCGCTCATATTCTATGTGGGATTCAATAATATGTTTTGGGGGAAAGGGATTGTTAGTAATGGGGTCTAATAGCCCCATTACTAGCAATATACTCTCTCAGGTCGACCTCCATGCGGTTCCTCCTGGAAACCATCATATTTAATTCTTGTCGAATTCATTATGGTGGGCCAACTGACCTGCATTCTTATCTATCATTTTCGACTGGTGCCTCGTCGGTGTATACCGATAGCGCGGGCGGGGTTACCATTCAATTTTCACCCATTAAAAAAAAAAGTGTGTTTTGTTAATGCGTGTATCTTTATCAGTGGAGACAGGTGGGATAATAGTTTTTTAGGGGTGGAATAAAATACCACCTTTTTACCATTGCCAAGAACAAGTAAAATTGGCTTCAGCATATTTTAAGTAATTGCCCACCCCAGAATAATCTGGGTGCTCATTGCAGAATGCGAAGTTTTCCAAGAGTACACGAAAAGTATGTTTAAAAGTATATATGTTTTTAAGGGGTCAGGCCTTCTCTGAAAAATAAATACGCCAATGAAAATTATAATTACGTGGGTATACGATTGACCAGTGTCAGCATCGCAATGGTATCACGGTATTTTCGCTTTAAATCTCTGCAATAATTTGCCGTGGTCCACCTACCTATAATAAACATCTCACGAATTGTTACTATTTGTCAAAAAAATGGTATTACGGAGGACGAATGCTTCCTAATCGTTAAATAGATTACATTAAATACACTGCGATAAAAGCCGTCCATTTTGCGATCTGCCTTGTCGATTATACTATTATTTTAGTTACTACATTGTTCGGCAGAGGGTACTTCCTTTTTGCTCGCTTTAGATAATATAATTCAGATAAAAATAAATTATGTCGTTCGATATTAAAAGCGTAATTTTCGGCTGTAGCATTTTTTGCTTTTAGGGGAAGTCACGTATATAAAAGAAAATTTCAAGTATTTATTGTACATCACAAGCACGACCTCTATTGTAAGTAGATCTAGAATAAGAATTTTGATAACTCCATCTTTAGGCACATAAAGTATCTGTTAGTATCAGTGTTCCGATTCATTAGAAATAACACATTTTATGGATAGATGGCGCACATTGTCACTTATATTCTTTTTGGACGTTCGTCATCTGGGTTGAATGGCTGATAGTGGATTAGTGGACAATTTCTTCTTTTTTGTGAAACTGTGAATATTTGTAAAAAGTCTTACCTTCTAAAGGAATTACATGGATTTTAGAGTGAACTGAAGTGTGTCTAATAATTTGTTTTATATTTTATAAATTTGTTCGTGATTGTAGCTGGGAATATTAACGAGGTCATTTGAAGAGGCTAAAAGTGTGACGGTATTTAAATCTGTTTTCAATTATTTGTGAAATTCATATATATTTAATGTAAAGGAAAATATTGTACCAATTAGAAATAAAATTATTAAGATTTTTAAAATTTAAGCGATGCCACATAACCAAACTTTCGCTGACTAGCGTACAAGACTAGACGGCCTTGAATCTAATCTTGTCAAGTCAATGTCGTTTGTTTATCAATAATCTTGTCTAGATTGGATGACCAGCAAACTGTTACATATAATATTTTCTGGGACCCTAAATGTATTTTCAATATTATCAATATACCAAAATGTGTTTTTATTTTCACGTCCTATAACTATCTAGGTACAGTTATGAATAAACTGAGAAATCCTAAAATATCCACCGTTAAATAAGTACCTAGTAGGTAAGTAATGGAGTATACAATATTTTTTTCATACTTATTTATTCCATATTTATTAAAAAACAAAAACGGTAAAACGTGAGTTGGACACACATAGGTACATACTGAGTGTTCTTGAAACAATAAATAAATAATACAGATATAGTTTATACTGGTTCTCAATTTGTCTGTATTTTTTTATTTAGGTACGTCATTTATTTATTTAATTACCCAGGTAGGATTACTAGGGGAGAGGGATATTATTAGTAATGAGGATTAGCGATATATATATATATATATATATATATATATATATATATATATATATATATATATATATATATAGAAATATATGCCATGTCTCTCTTTTTGTGGATAATAATGAAATGGCAAACACACGTGTTCTAACGGTATACACTGGCATGGCACTGTTAAGGGGTGATAGGTGAGAATGAAACGGAAGGTTCATTAGCCCATCTTGATGAATATACCTGGAATTCTGCACGATGTTTTACAAGGAGGATCGCGCGGAGGGTATATTGCTAGCCTGGGCATTATGAAGACTTATTTTTTAGATTTTTAACTAAGGTATTTATATCTACATTAGTTTGACTACACTAGCTTCACACGTTTTTGGCTATTATACCTAGTTAGGTATTAATTTAATAACTAGTTAGTTATCAAATTATTCTTATTATATTTCTTTTTATTACGTAACGTAATGTAATTTCCGTATTACGATATTGTTGGTGCCATACAAACAAACAGATATTATTTACCAGAGGGAGACTTTGTATAAAAGTCGATTGCTTGGGTACCTCTGTCCTATTCGTATTTCAACCGTGAAGCAGTTGTATTTGCATGGCTGTGTTTCGGTTTGAAGGGTGGGATATGGCGTGAATTTACAGGGTACAGAAGAATAACACCCGAGTCCTTAGGAAGGGCAATGCATGGGGGGTATCATGGGCGAAACAGTATACTCTGTTATGTCCATGGTACTGCTCATGTCTATAGGCGACGGTTACCACTTTCCATCAGGTGTGCCGTCAGTTTGTTTTCCATTCTAAGTTCTATAAAAAAAAATATTTATTGCGGTTTGAAATAAATAACAATCGAATGAAATATAAACAGTCTATGAACACAAAATGTATACTCAAAACTACTGTGAGTACTGCTCGTATCTTTATTTCATGTACACAATCAGCTCAGGCGTCACCAAACATTACTGTTTCCCGTGAACATATCACTAGTGACTCAAGTGATTTATTTATAAGAAAATAAACCAATGGAAATAATTATCTAGAATAAATAATACTACTTTGTGCAGATGTCAATAAAATACGGCCGGACGTGCAGCAGGGTTGGCAGCTACTAGAAGTGGCGACGTCATCACCTCGCCACATGACCGGCCCGTGATTGCAGAACAAGGTAAGGAGCACCATTTACTACGGTAACTCGGTCGCCGATCTAAAAAATACCAAGTAATGATTCACGCAGTTTGTGCAGCTGACTTACTTCATTTGTGAATCGTAAGTACATTCCTGTATGTAATATCATTTCCATTTGATTGTTCAGGAGAATTATTATTATCCTATAATTGGTATTTATAAATCACTTTTATAAATATGTAGTTAATATGTAAGTATATATAATAATAATTTCAAGAAATTCTAAAGAATGCCTGTTTCTATAATTGTTTGTTTAGAAATTAAGCTTCCAACATTTCCCTATGCCAGATAGTGATACAATTTATGCGCTTTTTAAGCAATTTCAAAAAGTACACATATAGTTCTCATTTCATTTGTAAATATTTTATGCGATATTTTGTCTTCTTCCACTACTACAGCATATTTGGTAACTTTGCTAAAGCAATACTCGCCTATCTATTATAAGCCAGTATAAGCCACTTTTATAATGAAATACATCGTCTTATATTATAGGTACTTATTTGAAACTTACTACTTTCACAATTTAGACCATCTAGATTTCACAATTTGCAACAAAATGAAATATTGAACACATCTGTATCTGAAAACAGTTCAAATCTTTTCCTGAACTTGATTTTATAAAAACTGTAAATAAATATCTGAAACGGACAGCCTGACGTTACCAGTTATATAGTAAACTGTGAGCAACCTTCAATGCGCTGCGTGCAGGTGTACGTTGTTTGTAAACAAGCCAACGTGACCGTCGTTGCATAATGCGAACGCGCAGTGGCACAGTCATGTGCCATGTCCAGTTTCTTGTAATACAGCCAGAATGCAGCATATTCCACAATTGACACACATTGTGAACGAAAGTGATTAAAATATTGAGTTATTAAACGTAGATGTACTCGTATTTATCTGTGTTCTAAATATGTCACCTAGGTAATTCAAGCATTGAGTAAGAAATGTCTAAACATCTTTGTAAACACTCACATTCATAATGTTCGTAGGATAGTATGTAATGCTAGTAAAAATGAAATTCCGATTCGTATTGAAAGTTGTACATATTAATAAAAAAATGAACAGTAAAAAAACAATAAACGCACAAATTACAAGAGTTTGTAACACTAGGATTAAACTACGAAAATACTGAAAGTACGATCGATTTATTTAGTAAACAAAAAAAAAAAATACAAAGAAAAATAATTATGATAAGGATTTTGTTGAATTTGCGGAAAACCAAATTTTATTTATTTTTAAAATTAAAGAAAAAAAACAGCTCTTTATAACACAGTACAGATTACACATAAATGTAATAGACCAATACAGTTTTGACAAGTTTTTTGTGAACAAAAAAAAATTACTAAAATCAAGCAAAAATAAGTAATATTTGTGTGTCACCATGTAAATATAACAACAAGACAAACAACGAGGTTGGTACAAGTTAGCTGATAAAGGTATATGTGTATAATTGATTACTTGGTTAGTATTTTAAACATTCATCATTATTTCAACCATTATCTGTTCACTGCTGGACATAGGCCTCTCTCATAGACTGTCTGTTCTGAACCACCTGCATCCACTGACTCTTTGCAATGCATTTGAAGTCTTCATTCCATCTAGTGGGAGATCGTCCTACACTGCGTTTGCCTGTACAGGGTCGTCACTCAAAAACCTTTCTTCCCCATCGGTTATCGGCTCTTCGAGCTACGTGACCAACTCATTGCCCCTTCAGCTTGCTTATCCTTTCGGCTATGTCGGTTACTTTAGTTCTTTTGCGGATATCCTCGTTTCTTCATAGCCATATAGGACCATGTTTCGGTTCCAGAAGTTATCACTGGCAACACTAGCACTAGTTAAAGACCTTCGTCTTCAAACTCTGAGATATTTTGGATGAAAAGATGTGGCGTAGTTTTTTGAATGCTGCCCAGCTGAGTTGGAATCGTCGGTTGACCTCTCGGTCGAAGTTTTAAATATTAGCGGAATTAAAATAATACTAACCAAAAATAACAAGGTTCATTCTGTACGTATTTACATACACAGTGCAGGTAAAAGAGGTCGCGTAAATTATCGAAACGTCCATAAACCTGGTTTCTTATATTAGTTATAGGTCGCACAGAGGAGCCCAATTCAACGTCTATTTTTATTTGTTGACCCATGTTGTCCCACTACTGGGCAAAGGTGTCATGGAGGAAATGAGTTGTTAGTAATGGAGTCTAACTGCCTCGTTGCTAGCCATAAACCCACTAGTTTTTGCCCTTGGCTTCATTCGCGTATTAGGAAAAAATAAAAGCCTTCTCTCTTCAAATACTATATGTATTCAAAATTTCGAGGTGATTGGTTAAGCCATCATAACATCAAGCGGTAGGGAGGGAAGGGATTTTTAGTAATGGGGAAGTAAATCCCCATTGCTATCAATATACTCTATCAGGTCGACCTCCACGCGGTTCCCCCTGGAAACTATCGTGACTAATTTATCGTTGAATTCGTCACAATGGGCTAACTGACCTGTCTTTTCATCCTCACCTATCACCACCTCTCACTGGTACCCCGCCAGTGTATATCGATATCGCAGACGGGGTTACCATGTCATTTTCACCCATTAAAAAAAAACAACAAGGAAAACAAACAAATATACACTTTCACATTTATAATATTAGTAAGGAAATTTTGTATAATAATACGAGTAGTAACTACGCTAGTTTGTATATCTATCTGTAGTGTACAGAAGTTTCTTATGACTTTCTCTGTTATGTAAGTTGTTTGGCGTTTGTTTTGAAATAGAACTACGGCGTAATTGAAGGACAACACGACAAACTGTTCCAGAGATTTAATGTTTGAAATACTGGTATATAGTATTTATTCTCAAAATTTAAGTAGCTTGTTATTCGATGTCCCCCGGCTACCCAAAGCTATCGAGTATCACTAATCTATTTTTCCATACAATATAGCTACGCCCGTTATTACAATTGTTTGGCAGACAAAAAAAATCTAAATTGTAATAATTAAAGATTGTGACGCACAAAAATGCCAACTTCAATGGGTAACTAAATAAATTTTTAAACAAAAATTTAAGTACTGAACCGATTTCCCTAAAATTTCTGTGGAATCAATCTGTAAATTATTTTTTTTATGCTTACAGATAAAAAATAATTTTTCAAGTCTGTTTAGAACTGACTGAGTTATGAGGTAAACAAAAAATCCAATCGAATTAAGAACCTCCTTTTTGAATATGGTTTTTTTTATGGATGAAAATGGAATGGTAACCCCGCATGCGCTAACGAGATACGTTGGCGGAGCACCAGTGAAGGGTGACAGATGAGAATGAAAACAGGCCAGTTAGCCCATCATGATGAATTCATCAGGAATTAACCATGATAGTTTCCAGGGAGAACCGCGAGGAGGTCGACCTGGTTGAGTATATTGCTAGGAATGGGATTCTCAGTGTCCATTACTAACAATTTCCCCCCCTTTTGAAATCGGTTGGAAATGATGTGATTTGACTCAAACAACACCTACGGGATTGTGTAAACAAATTAACTAATTATTAAAGACCACTACTTTCTTTTTATTTATTCAATAGAGGTATTAAACTCAGGTGTGATTCGTATTATTATTATATGTATATTCATTATGTATATATATCTATGATGTATATATCACCAGAAATGTGTATCAAAAGCACACAAAGATAATTTTGAATCGGATGATGAATCTGGCTTTGTATGTGAAAAGTGTTTTATATTAGATGATGGTGATTCAGATGCCACTGATGATTCTGTATTGTCTGTATGAAAAGTATTGCGATGGCAAAAAAATGAATAATTATTTGATGTTAAAGTTGCTTTATAAAAGAATATATTTTTGTTTTTGTTGATTTTTATATAATTATTACTGAGGAAAAGTGATCTGTCCATAGGTACATTGCCGTCCATAGGTACAAGTATAGCTATCCACAGGTCCAATCATATGATTTACCTGTGGACAAATTTAGGATTTTAAAAAATGTGATTTATTGTAATACTTATAATTAATAAAAAAAACTTAAGACTGCTAATTCTTAAGCGTTAACTATTCCTGTAACAACATTTGCGATAATTTACGGTTAATAAATGAAAATTAAGTAATGAAACCTCATTTTCTTTCAAAATTCGGCGAATGTCCATAGGTAAAACACTGTTCCCTATTCATATGTACAAGGTACATCGTATTGTGACACCTTTTCAATTTTATTCAAGTGCAGCATGCCCATAAGAGATAACTGCTTTCTATATAACTAGTTCAACATATATATTTCTGTTATTACGTAAAAAAGCGACTTTAATCGTGAACGCACAAATAAATGACGAGATGTATTGTGGAATGTAGGATACACTGTAATTAATATTCTGTGTTAACATATAGATTGCTTCGCAAGCAGTTGTTTTTGCTCCGTAAAGAAAGCGGACAGTTTCAAATGTCATAAAATTTAACCAACCAACCACCTAAACCCTATCCATAAAAAATGTGTAAATCAGTCCAAAATATGCGATGTAATCGCGTCAAATAGTTATAAAAATTATTGACATTGATGCTCCTTTCCACTTGGGGGGTTTTTTAATGGATGATAATGAAATCGTAACATCGCCTGCGCTATCGAGATATACTGGCGGGGCACCAGTGAGCGATGATAGGTGAGGATGATGTCGGGTCAGTTGGCCCATCGCGACGAATTTGACAATAAGTATTCACGATGGTTTCCAGGAGGAACCGCGTAGAGGTCCACCTGGCAATGTATATAGCTAGCAATGTGGATTAACGTCCCTATTTCTAATAATCCTTCTTCCTCCTTCTACTTTGGGTTTGCTGGAAGAAAACTCTTTTAGAGTTACTTTTTGTACATATGCTTATCTGTGTTATTTGTTATATATTACTAGTGTGTACAATAAAGTATAAATAAATAAAAAATATTTTGAGTTTAAAACAAAACAGAAATTACTATAAGTTAAATCCTACAGTTTTCTAATTTCTAATCGCTTAAAGTGAAAAAAAAACCTAAAATGTTAATCATAACTTTTCATAAAATTTCAAGTTTCAACCAATCTTAACATAAGTACGTAATACTTACTTAACTAATATTATAACCAATCATTATGAAATGTAGTATAGACATATGAAATGAAGAAGAATATAGGCTACTTTTTATCCCGTTCAGTAAATATACACGCAGAAGAAGTCGCGAGTAATAGACTTTTGAAAAGACTTTGTTTTGTTTCCAAACTATATATATACATACACACGATAAAACTTTTATTAAGTTGTATAGGAGATAAAAATATGTTTCAATTTCTGTTTTGCATGTTTAGTAATCAAAACAACACTATTATGTGACTTTTGATTAAAAATATTATTTTTCTTTACCTCTTTACATGGGCTACTATTCTATATTTTTCTGTAAAGTTTTTCTGAAGGAAAATAGAACTTTGATTTGCAAAAGTCACAAAAACAAATTTGACGAAATTAAGCAGTCCGTTTACGCCATTCGGCTATATTGTAATTATAATTATATTCTATTTAATGTTAATAAAATAATACCTTTGCTTTCATAAACAATAGGCACAGTCATATGTAATAATATGTAAACAGTTGGGATACCTATTTGGAAACTAATAGGTATGTAAATTGTTAATGCGTCAAATTAGTGCTTTGTCACTATTA